TCTCCTTTCCCTGCTCTATGCGATGTATAGAGTGTGCAATGTCATGGAATTCTTGAAAGCAATACAGACTAGAAAGGTAGTATTTCAAACCTTGAGTCGAGATACATGAAAAGGGAACTTATTTTCGACCAAATTGCACAATAATTGGTTTCCTGTGCAACACAAGTCCAAGTGTGGCATCCTGCAGAAAGTGAATTTCAAACAGAAAAGGTGTAACATTTGAAACAAAAACATCAGCGTACTGCAGCCTGGACCTTGATGTAAGCGCAACTTACCAATGCTTCTGTAGCAAGCCCTGGAGTTGGAAGTGTGACAAATGCTTGGCCCTTCATCCGACCTTCCTATCGAAGGGTCCATCCATCCATACCCAAGCATCATCACATAGAAATCATGCAAGAGGAACATGAACGTACACACAGGACAGAGGCATGTAAAGGGAGGATGGGGGAGGGGGGTGCATGCGGGAATACATGCAATGCCATTAAGGGATTTGAAAGAGAATCAGATTAAAAGTAATCAAAACAACACGCCGAGGTTCAGGGTTTACAAAGTGTCACGCCATGCAAGCCACCAGCATACCATACCTGCATAAGCCGAACTCCAACCTTTGACTTCCAGTCAGAGTCGCGCGGGAAAAATGCTCCTGGTGATCCAAGGAGACATGCACGGGTGAGGGGGTTGATGGGAAATCCACGGGAGAAGTTGCACGGAAGGTGAACTTGGTAGGAAAGGTCAGTGGCACGGCCATTAACAGCTGAAACGGGCTGGTGGAAAATTCAATACACGTAAGAAAAGAGTTGTTCGCGGGTAGACCTGGAATACAATACAGTGAAACACAGTGGGTGTGTGCATTTTATTGTGCTAATTTCAAAGGTACGTAAGGGACAAAGTTTATGGTGATTCTTGAAATGTTAACCAGGGTGGACACAGAACACTCGGGTGTGATGCGAGTAGATGAAGCCTTGTGACTGAAAAACAGGAAAAGGACTGACTGACTGACTGATTCACTGAGTGACCGGCTGACTGAATGAATGAGTGGCTGGGGTAGAAAGAAGGTGACTGACTGACTGAGAGTATGAATGAAGGAGACTGACTGACTGAGAGTATGAATAAAGGTGACTGACTGACTGAGAGTATGAATGAAGGTGAGTGACTGACTGAGAGTATGAATGAAGGTGACTGACTGACTGAGAGTATGAATGAAGGTGACTGACTGACTGAGAGTATGAATGAAGGTGACTGACTGACTGAGAGTATGAATGAAGGTGACTGACTGACTGAGAGTATGAATGAAGGTGACTGACTGACTGAGAGTATGAATGAAGGTGACTGACTGACTGACTGAGAGTATGAATGAAGGTGACTGACTGACTGACTGAGAGTATGAATGAAGGTGAGTGACTGACTGAGAGTATGAATGAAGGTGACTGACTGACTGAGAGTATGAATGAAGGTGAGTGACTGACTGAGAGTATGAATGAAGGTGACTGACTGACTGAGAGTATGAATGAAGGTGACTGACTGACTGACTGAGAGTATGAATGAAGGTGAGTGACTGACTGAGAGTATGAATGAAGGTGACTGACTGACTGAGAGTATGAATGAAGGTGAGTGACTGACTGAGAGTATGAATGAAGGTGACTGACTGACTGAGAGTATGAATGAAGGTGACTGACTGACTGACTGAGAGTATGAATGAAGGTGAGTGACTGACTGAGAGTATGAATGAAGGTGACTGACTGACTGAGAGTATGAATGAAGGTGAGTGACTGACTGAGAGTATGAACGAAGGTGACTGACTGACTGAGAGTATGAATGAAGGTGACTGACTGACTGACTGAGAGTATGAATGAAGGTGAGTGACTGACTGAGAGTATGAATGAAGGTGACTGACTGACTGAGAGTATGAATGAAGGTGAGTGACTGACTGAGAGTATGAATGAAGGTGACTGACTGACTGAGAGTATGAATGAAGGTGACTGACTGACTGAGAGTATGAATGAAGGAGACTGACTGACTGAGAGTATGAATGAAGGTGACTGACTGACTGAGAGTATGAATGAAGGTGAGTGACTGACTGAGAGTATGAATGAAGGTGACTGACTGACTGAGAGTATGAATGAAGGTGACTGACTGACTGAGAGTATGAATGAAGGTGACTGACTGACTGAGAGTATGAATGAAGGTGAGTGACTGACTGAGAGTATGAATGAAGGTGACTGACTGACTGAGAGTATGAATGAAGGTGACTGACTGACTGAGAGTATGAATGAAGGTGACTGACTGACTGAGAGTATGAATGAAGGTGACTGACTGACTGAGAGTATGAATGAAGGTGACTGACTGACTGAGAGTATGAATGAAGGTGACTGACTGACTGACTGAGAGTATGAATGAAGGTGAGTGACTGACTGAGAGTATGAATGAAGGTGACTGACTGACTGAGAGTATGAATGAAGGTGAGTGACTGACTGAGAGTATGAATGAAGGTGACTGACTGACTGAGAGTATGAATGAAGGTGACTGACTGACTGACTGAGAGTATGAATGAAGGTGAGTGACTGACTGAGAGTATGAATGAAGGTGACTGACTGACTGAGAGTATGAATGAAGGTGAGTGACTGACTGAGAGTATGAATGAAGGTGACTGACTGACTGAGAGTATGAATGAAGGTGACTGACTGACTGAGAGTATGAATGAAGGAGACTGACTGACTGAGAGTATGAATGAAGGTGACTGACTGACTGAGAGTATGAATGAAGGTGAGTGACTGACTGAGAGTATGAATGAAGGTGACTGACTGACTGAGAGTATGAATGAAGGTGACTGACTGACTGAGAGTATGAATGAAGGTGACTGACTGACTGAGAGTATGAATGAAGGTGAGTGACTGACTGAGAGTATGAATGAAGGTGACTGACTGACTGAGAGTATGAATGAAGGTGACTGACTGACTGAGAGTATGAATGAAGGTGACTGACTGACTGAGAGTATGAATGAAGGTGACTGACTGACTGAGAGTATGAATGAAGGTGACTGACTGACTGAGAGTATGAATGAAGGTGACTGACTGACTGACTGAGAGTATGAATGAAGGTGAGTGACTGACTGAGAGTATGAATGAAGGTGACTGACTGACTGAGAGTATGAATGAAGGTGAGTGACTGACTGAGAGTATGAATGAAGGTGACTGACTGACTGACTGAGAGTATGAATGAAGGTGACTGACTGACTGAGAGTATGAATGAAGGTGAGTGACTGACTGAGAGTATGAATGAAGGTGAGTGACTGACTGAGAGTATGAATGAAGGTGACTGACTGACTGACTGAGAGTATGAATGAAGGTGAGTGACTGACTGAGAGTATGAATGAAGGTGACTGACTGACTGAGAGTATGAATGAAGGTGAGTGACTGACTGAGAGTATGAATGAAGGTGACTGACTGACTGACTGAGAGTATGAATGAAGGTGACTGACTGACTGAGAGTATGAATGAAGGTGAGTGACTGACTGAGAGTATGAATGAAGGTGAGTGACTGACTGAGAGTATGAATGAAGGTGAGTGACTGACTGAGAGTATGAATGAAGGTGACTGACTGACTGAGAGTATGAATGAAGGTGACTGACTGACTGAGAGTATGAATGAAGGTGACTGACTGACTGACTGAGAGTTTGAATGAAGGTGAGTGACTGACTGAGAGTATGAATGAAGGTGACTGACTGACTGAGAGTATGAATGAAGGTGAGTGACTGACTGAGAGTATGAATGAAGGTGACTGACTGACTGAGAGTATGAATGAAGGTGACTGACTGACTGAGAGTATGAATGAAGGTGAGTGACTGACTGAGAGTATGAATGAAGGTGACTGACTGACTGAGAGTATGAATGAAGGTGAGTGACAAGGCGCTGATGGTGGTGGGCTTGGCGATGTACAGCGTTGCACATTGCTCTGAGCTTTGAGACGTCTTCAACTCGCCTGACCGAAGATACGGAACAAGTCGGTGGTGGTGGCAGCAGCCTTGGCGATGTTCTTTATGAACAGCGTGGGAGATGGCTCATCCCTCTCTTGAAGCACCTAATGAAGGTGACTGACTGACTGACTGGCTGAGAGTACCCAGCGACTGACACAGAGTTGAAAGGGTTCGAACAGCAGCAAGCTTGAAGGGTTCGAATTGGAGCCGTCGTCAGCGCAAGAGTTTTACTGACACCTAATGAAGGTGATTGACTGACTGATTGACTGAGAGTACCCAGTGAGTGACTGACTGACCAAATATACGAACGAGGTCGGTGGTGGTGGCAGCCTTGGCGATGTTCTTTATGTACAGCGTGGCGCATGGCTCTCCCCTCTTGTAGTTCTGCACACACACATGCAGAGACACGCGTTTGTGCACACCTTTGTATCAACCTTTGAGGCGCCTCAAAAGTCGGCACATGCAGAGACACGCGTTTGTGCACACCTTTGTATCAACCTGCACTGCACTGCACACTCACTCGGTGATTTTTGAGAATTCCGAAAAGCAGAGACCAGCTTGCAGAGCAGAGACACGCACGCACTTGTGCACACCTTTGTATCAACCTGCACTGCACACTCGCGCACTGCCTCTTGCCACTGCACACTCACTCCTGCTCTTGCATTCTGCACACACACATGCAGAGCCGAGACACGCGTTTGTGCACACCTTTGTATCAACCTGCACTGCACAGTCGAGCACTGCCAACCCACTCCTTTTATATTTTCACCTTATACACTGAAAACTAGCACACCCACTCCTTCTGTTTTTTTCACCTTATACACTGCACACGATCACTTGACCTCTTGCCTTTGCATTTTCACCTGATACACTGCACACTAGCACAGTCACTCCTGCGTTTGTATTTTCACCTTATAAGCTGCACACTCCAGCAGCTGCTCCCATGTCAACTGCTGTCTCCTCAACCCATCTAGTGCAAGCGCACACATTGTGTGTGCACCAATTAACAATTGTGTGCGCGCACACATCAGTTTCCCACCTTATACGCTGCACACTCCAGCAGCTGCTCCCCTGTCAGTTGCTGCCGCCTCAACTCCTCCAAAGTAGCCCTCTCCTCACCTCCCTCCTCTCTCAAAACCTCCCCATCCTCCTCGCACATCTTCCCTCTCCCCTTCGCCACACCATTACCCCCATCCGCCAAGCTGCTCGTCCCTGTCATCCCTCTTCCACCAACCTTCTCCCCCACCGTTCCCCTCTCCGTTCCCCCCACACCTTCCTCCTCTGCCTTCGCCCCAACCTCCCCCGCATCAGTCGCCCGCTTTTCCCTGCTCTCATTTGCGTGCTCTGTCCCTCCTTCCAAACTCACTCCATCCTGCTGCCTCCCCTCCACCTCGTCGGAATCTACATCTCCTTGTGCCTTTTGAGGCGCCTCAAAAGTCCTCCCCTCCACCTTGTCCAAATCTAACTCTCCCCGTGCCAGGGAGCCTCGTCCCCAACCTCCAGCGCCACTCTCCCCCCGCCTCCCCTCCACCTCGTCCGAATCTACATCTCCCTGTGCCACTGCACCGCTCTCCTTTTGCCTCCCCATTGTCATCACATCTTGGCCTGTCAATGCCACGCCAACCTCTTGGCCTGTCACTGCAGCGTTGCTTTCTGTCAGCTTGTTTTCGTGATCCCACCTTGTTCGCGGCTTCTTCTTCTCTGGGCGCAGCTGGATCTGAGGACAGAAGAGAACACGATAGGCAGCACGACAGGGAGGAAGGGACATACATTATGTCAAGATGGATATGAGGATATGGACAAGTTTTGAGAGGTCTCAAAATCCGCGTGATAGTAATCTAGTTCTGAGATGTCTCAAAAACTTTGAGGTTCTGACAAACTGGATCTGAGGATATGGACAAAGGACAGCACCGCAGGGAGAGGGGACAATCTCAAGAAGAACAAAGGAAGAAGTAGGAATTTACCTGCAAGACAGGTGCCCTTTTCTTGACCAACAACGCTGCCCGTCCTACTACCCCACCTCCACTTCTCGCAACCACCTTTCTCACTCCAGCCCTCTCAAGCCGCTTCTCCTCCCCCTCCTCCCACTCAATCCCCTCCCCTCCCTCCTCCTCCTCTTCCTCCTCCTCCACCTCTCCTCCCACTCCGTTCCTCTTGAAAGCTCTGCCTCCCTCTATTCCTTCTACCATTGGCGCTTTCAGTGTAGAGTCTAGGACACGCGTCCTGGGACTGGCATCTAATGAGGCAGCAGCAGCTGCTGCAGCTGCTGGTAAGGGCGACTGTGCTCTGAGTTGCTGTGATGGCGTCTCAAGGGGGCTTTTGGCAGTGGGATGGGAGGAATAGGCCGGGGCACTGACAGTAGCAGCGGGTGGATGCGTGCTTTGAGGCGTCCCAGGACTTGCATTGGATGGGGTGGAAGGTGGTGGTGGTGGTGGTGCTGCTGCTGCTGCTGTTGGCAGGGGCGATTGCGTTCTGATGGGCTGTGAGGGTGTCTCAAAGCGGCGGCTTGTGGCGGGGTGGGAGGCGGAGGGAGGGGCATTGACAGCAACGGCAGGTGGAATGGTGCTTTGAGGCGCCTCAGGAGTTATATCAAAGGGGATGGAGGTGGTGTAAGACTGAAAGGGGGGGTGAGAGGGAGGGGGGTGACTAGAGAGTGGGGCGACTGGACGGTGCAAGGGAGGTGGAGGGTAGGGAGTTGGAGGGAACGGGGTAGGGTGACGGAAACGTGGAGGATGAGCGGGGGGATGGGCGGGAAGAGGCGCGAGGGAGGGGGGTCTCTGGTTAAAGGAGGGAACGGCAGGCAACGGAGCGAGGGCAGGGTGGCCGGATGGTGGGTTTGGAGGGCGCCATTGCAATGAGTGGGATGGTTGAGGTGCGTGGGGTTGGGGATAAGGTAGTTGGGATGGTTGAGGTGGGTGGAGTGCTTGAGGTGGTTGGAGTGGTTGAGATGGGTGAGATGGTTGGGGTACTTGAGTAGGGGCGGTTGTTGGGCTTTGGGAGGAGGTCGAGTGGGACGAGGCAGAAGGTGGTGGGTTGGATGTGCTGGGCTGATGTGGTGCGTTGGGTGGGCATGGTGGTTGTGGCGATGGCTGCGGTACAGCGGGGTGCAGTGCGGTGGGCTGTAAGGATGAGGGGAGGATGACTGGGCCAAAAGGGGGAGGCAGGCTCATCTTGTTCATCAAATGGAGCACCTGGGGGGAAGAATAAGAGGGAGGGGGGATGGATAGGGAGATGGAGGGGGGATGGATAGGGAGATGGAGGGGGGATGGATAGGGAGATGGCGGGAGATCGGGAGGGATTTAGAAACATGACGGGTGAGGAAGGGAGGCGGCCAGGCACTCATGTGAGGCAGGCTCATCTTGTTCATCAGATGGAGCACCTGGGTGGGGGGGGAAGAGGGGGGGGGGGGAGAAGGGAGATGGAGGGACGGATCAGAGGAGAAAAAGTAAGGAGCAGAGGAGGCAGGCTCATCTTGTTCATCAGATGGAGCACCTGGGTGGGGGGGGGAAGAGGGGGGGGGGAAGAAGGGAGATGGAGGGACGGATCAGAGGAGAAAAAGTAAGGAGCAGAGGAGGCAGGCTCATCTTGTTCATCAGATGGAGCACCTGGGGGGTGCAAGAGAGGGGCCGGGAGAAACGGAGAGGAAGGGAGGTAGGGAGGGATAAGAAATCGGAGCAAGAAAATACAGGAGCGGAGGAGGCGGCTTCATTTTGTTTATCAGATGGAGCATCTGGGCTGGGAGGTGGGAAGGGAGAAGGGACGGGAGAAGAGGGGAGGAATGGGGAGCGGGAGGGAGGAGAACAAATCATTCGGCGCATGTTAAGTCACGATGAGCACAAGCGAGGTCTATCAAGCCAGAGCTACTTGGGTTTCTTTCCTACGTTGGCAGATACGCTTTGGGAAGGCTGGCGTACCACGTATATACGCTAGCGTATATACGTGGTACGCTAATACGCTCTGATTTTGCGAAATACGCCCGGGCAGCCCGCGGAAAAAAAATTCCGAAATTGAAAAAATTCGCGACGACTTTGCGGCTTCGCAAATTGTTACCGCGAACTCGCTCAAGCACCCTACCCACGTCTGAACTTCGAATGTCAAAATCCAAACTTTCCCACCCACTCAACCACACACCACCCCACCCAACCTCTCAAACCCAACCACCCCTTTCAAATGTTTATCACTTCGTGAGCATTTTTAGGTCGACGGCTTCCATAATGCTCTTCAATTTACTTCCCGCAGGTCTCGTCTAGCATTCTTCCCCGTTAGTTAGACGTTCCGTAGTCGCGCGCCATGGCGTCGAGCGCAGCTCCTACTAGTTCGACGAGCAATGCAGCCTCTGTTCACGGCTCTACTGCCCGGGAAAAATGTTTCACCTGCCCGCCCAGCGTATTTTAGCGTCTCAGCAGTACGCCAGCCATTGCGTACCGCGTATATACCCAGCGTATAATACGCTAGCGTATTATACGTGATACGCGTATTTGCCAACGTATCACCCCATCCCACTACACCACACTGCACCACACTGCATCTGCGTGTGTGTGTCAGCAGGGTTCCGCCCAGCCCACCGTACCTGTGTGTAGAGGCGCGGTGTGGTGATGAGCGCAAGAGTTAAAAAAAAACTTCTTATAGCCCACCACACCACACCACACCACACCACACCACACCACACCACACCACACCACACCACACCACACCACACCAAACCACACCATACCATACCTGCGAGTCATGAAGGTCGGGCCAGCCCACCGTACCTGTGTGTAGAGGCGCGGTGTGGTGATGAGCGCAAGGGCAATGTTGATGATAGTAGGAGCAGACGGAGGGGGATAGGCGTACCTGGTGTGGGGGTGGGGGCGGCCGGGATGGGAGTGGGGAGAGAAAGGCGGGAGGATGAAAGAAAGGGACGAGCAGTCATCTGTGCTTGGCACGCCAATCATTTCATACATGTGTAGAGGAGCAAATTGGAGATGAGTGCAAGAGCAATGTTGATGATAGTAGGAGCAGACGGAGAGGGATAGGCATACCTGGTGTGGGGGTGGGGGGGATTGATAGGCAGGGGAACAGGTGGGGAAAGAGGGGCACATGAAGTGACTTTTGAGTCGACTCAAAAACCTCTTGAGTCGACTCAAAAACCTCTTGAGTCGACTCAAAAACCTCTTGAGAGTCAACTCAAAAACCTCTTGAGTCGAATCAAAAGTAACCAGGTGGGGGAAGAGGGGCGAGAACATGCACATGAATGAATGACTGACTGGCCGTGTCACGAAGCAAAGGTTGCAGCACGTGCAGAGGTTGCCTTTCGAGTCGACTCAAAAAACTTTTGAGTTGGCTCAAAAGTCACCTCGAATATGCACATGATGAATGGGACGCGGTGTCATGAAGCAAAGGTTGCACCACGTGCAGAGGTTGCATGATGAGGACGCGCAGAAAGGGGGAATAGCCACGTGATAAAGGTTGCGTTTTGAGACATCTCAAATCACGTGATAAAGGTTGTGTTTTGAGACGTCTCAAATCACGTGATAAAAGGTTGCACCACGTGCAGAGGTTGTATGATGGGGACGCGCAGAAGGGGGGAAGGCGGGGAGAGGACACACGGCACGGACCTAAAGTGTGGGGGAGGAAAGGGATAATATCCCCCCTCCTCCAAGCAGCTTTCTCTCTCCCCTCCTCCTGCTGCTGGATGGCCTCCTCTTTCTGCTTGCGTCTCCCTGATGAGCAATGCAGCAGCCTCGTCCCCTCTCCCTTCCCCTCCTTCCTTCCCTCGAGCCCTCGATTCCTGCTCTTGCCTTGCTGCTTCCAGTCCGCCTCTCGCTCCCTGCTCTTGGCCCATCGCCTCCTCTCTCATAACCACCTTCTCCTGCCCTGCTGCTGCTGCCACTGCTACTTCTCCCTCTGATTCAAGACCTGCTGCTCCCTCTCCTTCAAGACTTTGTGAAACCAAGTGCTCTTGCTGGCTGAATGCCATGAGCGCATGAACCAGGCGGCGGAGAGAGGGGTCTGAGAGAGGTGGCGGATGGTGGAACGATGGTGATGGTGATGGGGATTGCTGTGACGGTTGTGATGGCAGAGAGGGGTTAGTGGTTGCCATGAGCGCATGCGGCAGGCAGTGGAGAGAGGGGTCTGATAGGGGTGGCTGACGGCAGGATGGTGAGAGTGAAGGGGGGTGTTGTGATGATGACTCTGGTAACTCAATGCGTGCTTCTTCTTGCTGTTGAGAGCTTGAATCATGGTTAAGCAAGTTAGGGCGAGTAGCAACAGCAGCGGAGGCAAGGGTGGGAGCAGCAGCACGAGCAGGGGTGAAGGGTGTGGTGTGCGGTTCATTGTGGTTGGCGGAATGAGTAGGGGGAAAGTAGTGGGCTGATAGAACGTTGCTGCCCATGCGGATGCTGTTGGGTTGGAGGGAGAATGAGAGAAAGAGGGGAGAGTGAAGAAAAAGTTTCTGGTCCGTTTGGGTCAGAGGAAGTTGCATGAGCGAAGAAAAAGGCAAGAGTTGGAAACGGAAGTTTGGTGATTATTGTTTCTAGCGGAAAGTAAGAATGAAAAGGCACAGTAAGGGATATGAGAAGACATGGCTCGATATTAGAATGCTAAAAATCGAGTTAAACGTGCCGAGGGATTAAGGAGTGGAAGGAGAACACCTACCCATGCAGCTGCTTCCCGGCTGTGACTGCCTCACTCTGCACCTTGAATCGCGCATACACCACTCCCTTGCTTCTGGTGGGGGCAAATGTGGAGAGAAGCATGGGAGGAAAAGGGTCAGACAGAAATAAAGTCTAGCGGTTTGGGTGGGTTTGGGGTTGTCTCAGCAGCCTCTGTGCTGTCACAGCAGAGAGTGGTAGCAGAGAGGTTGGGTGGGTTCGGGATTGTCTTACCACTCTGTGCTGTGCTCCTAGGTCGTGCAGTTGTCTCCCTTGTACACCAAACCTCGTGTTGACCAATTAACCAATCTCCATTGTTAACCAGTTACCTGCACGCCACTCACCTGCTCACCACCCACCTGCTAACCACTTCCACCGCTCCAAACCGTTGCAGCAGCCGAACCAACACTTCCTGGCTTGCAATCGCCGGCACGTGCTTCAATACAAGCACATGACCGTTGCAGTCGCTATCGCTAGATAGAATCACATCATCGCTTATCTCCTTCCCTGCGTCTCCCCGCTTCGGAGCCATGTCTGCGGGAGCCCTTATCAAGGAGCGTATGGTTTCACGCGATCGTCATCTAACATTCAATTCCAATACTGAGTCCATTGGGACGGTCTATTTTAGCTATCAAGCCGACAACGCTGAGAAATAGTTGGTCCCTGAAGAATTTGATGATAGAATTCAGTGGCGGCGTGGTTGCAGCATTCGGCTATGTGGAAGCACATGAACCCCACTCGACCAGACCCAACCTGATCTGACCCGACGTGACTCATACAAAGCTACCATTCGTTCTATTACCGTGACGCAACAAGGTCTGATGGGGATCCGCTACAAGAATATCCACTAAGTACAATCAACACGCAAGCTATGTAGTTTAAGTTGACTGCCAAATAAACATTTTATAGCTGACTGCAGTGTACAACGCAGGGGAAATCTGGCATAATGTGATAACCGCTTTGTTGAGAAATGCATCATAATATACATGCATCTATCGTTAATCATATTCACAGGCTTTCACTGCTTCTCTCAACCAGACGAATGACCACCGCCCAATGTGGCATTGCGTGACCTCAGAGCTGCGGTCAATAGCGAGTGCTTCGATGGAAGCTCAGCCTCGTCAAACTTTATCCTGAAACCCAAAGCAGAGGGGATACGGAAGGGGTGTCAAAACGTGAGGCATACTCAGAACTCTTCGAGTCCTTGCTACATGTATACTCCAAGGCCAGAAAGGACGGAAAGCATGTTCAAGCACGCACATGTGCAAGCACTTGGACTGGACATTCATGCACGCATGCTGACCTGGCATAACTGAGGCTGGAGAGGCGATACATGCTGAGAGCCACGAGGATATGGAGGCAACCATGGATGCACATACCTGCATGCATGCATGCATACTAGGCAACTAAGGCCCACCAGCACATGCATTCATGCTGACCTGGCATAACTGAGGCTGGAGAGGCGATACATGCTGAGAGCCACGAGGATATGGAGGCCAATGGAGTAGAAGAAGACAAACGTGCGCGCGTACCTGGTATGGAACACAAGGGAAGGAGGAGAAAGAACAGTATATGACTTTTGAGACATCTAAAGAGGCGCCTTAAATGCTGAGAGCCAATGCAGTAGAAGAAGACAAACGTGCACGCGTACCTGTGAGGGAGTGCACACGGGTGGAAAACAGAAGATGTGCATACTTTATTCAACCCTAAGCCTTACAAGCCAGCACCAGATGCAATAGAAAAGGACGAACTTGCGCGCATAACAAGGTGGAAGAACCCAAGGGAGGGAAATGGAAATGCGTGTTCATAGGCGATTCCAGAAACAAATAAACACATGGGTGTTACGAGATAGGCCAAATCATGAGCAGAAGGAAGTATGGTACAAAGCTTGAGAGGCGAAGCTGGCAGTGGTTGGTGTAATGGAAACAGGGGGGAGGGAAGACGGATGAACGGGAGGAGATGAGTGGTTAAACGAGGCGAAGAGTGACTGAACAGGATTAGATGAGTCACTGACTTGTTGGAGAGGAGGAATTTGCCACTGGTGAGGGTGATTCTGTCTCGCAGACCCAGGTCCCTCACTCGCTGCTCCCTCTCCTGTTCGCAATGCATTTACAGAGGAGCAGCAATTGGAACGACATGAGATGATGGGAAGAAACTGCGGAACCCCTATGATGGTACATGATGAAAGGTTATCATGATGAAAGGTTATCATGATGAAAGGTTATCATGATGAAAGGTTATCATGATGAAAGGTTATCATGATGAAAGGTTATCATGATGAAAGGTTATCATGATGAAAGGTTATCATGATGAAAGGTTATCATGATGAAAGGTTATCGTGATGAAAGGTTATCATGATGAAAGGTTATCATGATGAAAGGTTATCACGATGAAAGGTTATCATGATGAAAGGTTATCATGATGAAAGGTTATCACGATGAAAGGTTATCACGATGAAAGGTTATCACGATGAAAGGCTATCATGATGAAAGGTTATCATGATGAAAGGTTATCACGATGAGGCACATTTCTGCGGCCTTAAAGATGTAGTTTTCTTGCAACGCAGAACAGGGAGCAGCACAGCAGGGAGCAGATGCTGGCGGCGCACCTTGGTGGAGAAAGCAGCAAAGGGGTTGATTGTCTCCTCGTATATCTTCTTGTACTTGCTCTCCACGTCTGCTGCTGGGCCAGCCTCTATGTCACTCTGTAGTGGATGAAGGATGCAAACGATGGAGGTGGTGGGGCAAAGAGAAGGGGTTGATTGTCTCCTCGTATATCTTCTTGTACTTGCTCTCCACGTCTGCTGCTGGGCCAGCCTCTATGTCACTCTGTAGTGGATGAAGGATGCAAACGATGGAGGTGGTGGGGCAAAGAGAAGGGGTTGATTGTCTCCTCGTATATCTTCTTGTACTTGCTCTCCACGTCTGCTGCTGGGCCAGCCTCTATGTCACTCTGTAGTGGATGAAGGATGCAAACGGTGGAGGTGGTGGGGCAAAGAGAAGGGGTTGATTGTCTCCTCGTATATCTTCTTGTACTTGCTCTCCACGTCTGCTGCTGGGCCAGCCTCTATGTCACTCTGATATGGAAGGAGGCAGGGGGTAAAGGGTGGTGGTGGACACAGGAAGTAGGATGGAAGTTGGGCAGTGAAGGAAGAGGTTGATGGTCTCTCCTCGTAGCGCATGCGCTCATACTGCTTCACGTTGTCGGCTCATACTACTCCAACCACTACTAGCCCCAAACAGAGATAGGCACACTGTCACACTGCTCCCACACACCTTTCTCGAACGGCTGGAGTTGGGTCTGTCTCCCCCACCAGCGCTCGTGTAGTCCTGCACGTATCGCATGCGCTCATACAGCTTCACATTGCCGGCTTTCAACCCTCTGGTGCAGCTATATTCAAATAGGATGATAGTTACACGCACCTTTCTCAATCGGCTGGGGTTGGGTCTGTCACCACCCCCTCCCCCGGCACTTGTGTAGTCCTGCACGTATCGCACGCGCTCATACAGCTTCACGTTGTCTGCTGTCAAACAGTACTAGCCCCATACAAGGGTACAATGCCCAGCCCACACATACCTTCCTGGATCGACTACTGTTCGGCCTGTCACCCCCTCCTCCCCCTGCACTTGTGTAGTCCTGCACATATCGCATGCGCTCATACAGCTTCACGTTGTCTGCTTTTAACCGCTCCACCTCTGCTGCCAGCTTGCCACTCCTCTCCCTCTCTGCTCTCAGCTCCTGAATAACATGAGAGCAAGAGGGGTGACAGGAGGATTCAAAAGGGGTGACATGAGAATGCAGAGTGTGCATTCAGCGTTGTCAGCTTCTAACCTGTCCCCCTCTGCTGCCAGCTTGCCGCTCCTCTCCCTCTCTGCCCGCAGCTCCTGCCAGCATAAGAGCAAGAGGGGTGATAAGGAGGAGTTAGAGATGTGACATGAGCATTCAGAGTGTGTTCAAAGTTGTCACCACCATGAGTTAGGGTGATGTACCGACGCGGTCTCCTCGTCCCATACCCATCTCCTCAACAACTCCCGTCTCCATCCCTGCCCTCTTTCCCCTCCCTTCCCCCCCCCTCCCTCACCTCTTCCAGCTCTCCCATTCGCTGTCGAAACCTGTCCCTCTGCCCGCACACCACCATGAGCACCGAATCATCATCCACCAATCCGCCGCTGCCACCTGTACCGCCACCATCCCCACCACCGCTGCCGCCCGCTGCTCCAGGCATCGAGACAATGCTGCCAACCGATGCCGCCCGGTGCTTGTCCCGTGCGCCATAGCCCTTGAGAATATCGTCCTCCAGTTTGCCTATAAGGGCCCTCTGCTCTGCCACTGTCCCTTCCAGTGCTGCTAACTTGATTTTCGCCTCATCACACTCCTCTTCCTTCTCACTCAATCGCATCTGGAGGGTTGTTACAGGGAGGAGTAGAGGAGCAAATAAGGGTAAGGGGGTTGATAAGGGTGTAAGAGGGAGGAGGGGAGGAGGGAAACAAGGGAAGGGGATCGGTAAGAAGGGCCCCTTGAGAATATCGTCCTCCAGTTTGCCTATGAGTGCCCTCTGCTCCGCCACTGTCCCTTCCAGTGCTGCCAGCTTAGCTTTCGTTTCATCGCACTCCTCCTCCTCCTCACTCAAACGCATCTGGAGGGTTGTTACAGGGAGGAAGAGATGAGGGAAACAAGGGAAGCGGATCGGTATCAAGGGCCCCTTGGGAATATCGTCCTCCAGTTTGCCTATGGGCGCCCTCTGCTCCGCCACTGTCCCTTCCAATGCCGTTACTTTGGACTTTGCCTGCTCACACTGCTCCTCCCTCTCACTCACTCACACGCATTTGAAGACAGGGGTGTTTTGGGGGTTAGGGAGGGAAGGTTGGTTGAAGCAAAGGGAATCCTTGAGAATGCCAACATCCGGCTTGCCTATGAGACCCTTCTGTGCCGCCGCTGTCGCGTCCAGCGTGTGACAGCTGTCAGATTGACCAGCGCTGACTGACCTTGACTTGAGTCAACACGTGCTCCATCCTCTTGTTCTTCTCCAGAAGCAAAGCTTCCAACTTCCCAATGTCATGTCAGCCCCACTGTTGCTGCGCATCACTCCCATTCCCTCATTCTGTGTGTGTTCACTGATCTTGGAGGGGCCTCACATTGACCAGCGTTGACTGACCTTGACTTGGGTCAACTCATGCTCCATCCTCTTGTTCTTCTCCAGCAGCAACGCCTCCAGCTTCCCAATGTCAGCCCCACTGCTGCTGCGCATCACTCCCTTCCCAGGCCTCCCTCATTTAGTGTTCGCAGATCTTGGGGCCTCACTCACATTGACCAGCGTTGACTCACCTTGACTTGGGTCAACTCGTGCTCCATCCGTTTGTTCTTCTCCAGCAGCAGCGCCTCCAGCTTTCCAATGTCAGCCCCACTGCTGCTGCGCATCACTCCCCCATCCCCTCCCCCCTTCCCACTCTCCCCATCTGCAGCAGCAGAGAGATCCGAGGAGGATCCTGGACCGTTGGATGACATGCCCGGTTCATCCCAGTCGTCCACTTCCACTGCATTGTAGCCCACGGCCTAAACGGGATAAATGGATGTGGGGCGTGGAGGGGAGGGGGGGAATTGTTGATGCCATAATCCTTATTTATTCACTTTAGTTGAAAAGAACGAAGAAAGGCACCTTGCCCAACGCAGAATGTGGGACGGGCATGGTTGATGAACTAACTACCTTAAAAAGGCTGGTGAAAAGAAGAAGCTCAGAATTTCACACAAACATATAGCATATGTGAGTGACCGAACTTGCAATACTACCCAACCCAAGCATAGCCTGTGGAGTGGAAAGTCCTCACATGTAGAAGAAGCTTCTATGAGAAGCTTGACTTGCCTGCACTGCTCTCGCTCTCACCTGCAGGGTCTTCACTTGCTTCCGTAGGTCCTCCCACTGCCTTTGTGTGGGCCCTGTTGCCAGTTCCTGTATGCATGCTGTGCTGTGCCGCACTTCTACTGCCCATGCTGCAACATGTTGACTTGCCTGCACTGCTCTCGCTCTCACCTGCAGGATCTTCACTTGCTTCCGTAGGTCCTCCCACTGCCGCTGTGTGGGCCTGGTAGCCAGTTCTGCTCTCAGCGCACCAATGGACGACTCCTGGTGATGCGTGGGTGGGGTGGGGTGCGTGATAGAGACGCATTGCAGCAATGGTTGAGAGTCTGAGAACAGCGTGTGTGGGCCTCTTTGCCAGTTCTGCTCTCAGCGCACCAATGGACGACTCCTGGTGATGGATGGGGTGGGGTGGGAAGGTGTGAGAGAGACGCATTGCATCAATAAATGAAACGTCTGAGAAATCTGTGTGGGCCTCGTTGCCAGATCTGCTCTCAGTGCACCAATGGACGACTCCTGGTGATGCGTGGGTGTGGAGAGGCAGTGGGCAGTGAGAAGCGGCCGTCAGAAACAAAAAAAAATAAAAAAACAAAAGCATACAAATTTCAAAATAATAAAAGACAAGGACCATGGAACCCGAGTGCTGACACTAGCAGACATCAGAAGTAGGTTGCAAGTGGGTCACACAAGAAAGGTACTCTAACTGCCGCTTCCCTCTGCCTCCTCCCTCTCTTCCATCAACCCGCCTTGTTGATAGCAGCTTACCCCACCCACAATATCTGCCCAGATGCCCACCCACCTGATCCTGCAGCAGTGCCTTCAGTCGCTTCACCTCCGCCCTCTGCTCCTCCCTCTCTGCCATCCCATCAGCCCGCCCTGCTCGACAGCACAAAACGCAGCTCACCCCATCTGCACTACCTGCCTAAACGCGCACCTGATCCTGCAGCAGCGCCTTGAGTCGCTTCACCTCCGCCCGCTGCTCCTCCCTCTCTGCCGCCCCTGCTGCCTCCAGGGCGTGCAGCTCCTGATGCAGCGATGCTATCACCGCCTCCTTGGCCCGTACTGCCGCCTCCCACCCGATTGCACCGTTGCTATCCGTGCTGCTAGTTGGGGCGGGGGAGAGAGGAACAGGAGAATGGTGCAGGGTGCAGGAGAGATGCAAAGCAAAGGGAGGCTGACGTAGGGGAATGAGTGCGATGTGAAAGGGACAACGGAAAGAAAGAGAGTGGGAAGCTGACATGTGCACTCATGTATGACAGGTGACATCAGGTGCGTATGATGAGTGCACATGAGGTGTGGCAGCAGCAACTCACCTCTCTCCGTTGCCTGCTGCTTCGTTGGGCTGTGTGGTCTGCAGCTGCGCCTTGAAAGCATAAGAGAGGTGAAATCAGGTGCGTATGATGAGTGCACATGAGGTGTGGCAGCAGCAACTCACCTCTCTCCGTTGCCTGCTGCTTCGCTGGGCTGTGTGGTCTGCAGCTGCGCCTTTAGAGCTTTATAGAGAGGTGAAATCAAGTGCATGTCAGCGCACAGGAGGTGGCACCGTGGCACCAGCAGCAGCAACTCACCTCTCTCCATTGCCTGCTGCTTCATTGGGCTGTGTGGTCTGCAGCTGCGCCCTGAGAAGCTTACAGAGGGTGGAACCAATTGCATATGATGCGTGCACATGAGATATGGCAGCAGCAGCAGTGCTGATCAGAAAAAAACGGCAGTGGATTGAGGCAGTCGCAGCTCACCTCTCACCATCTGCTGCGTCGCTAGGTTGTGCAGTCTGCAGCTGCGCCTTGAGGGCTTCCTGGAAAGGGGAGGGAGCAGCGCGTGCAGGAGAGAGTGGGACAGGTTAGGGGAAGAAGCAATAGGCCACTGTATCCCGCTTAGTGCTGCTTCGCTGGTCTGCAGCTGCGCCTTGAGGGCTTCCTGGAGAGGGGAGGGATGGGAGCAGCGCGTGCAGGGGGAGAGTGGGACAGATAGGTTTGAGGAAGAAGCGGCAGGCCACTGTATCCTACTGTAACCCACTGTACCGCACCTCACTTCACCTCACCCGCTTAGTGCTGCTTCGCTGGGCTGTGCAGTCTGCAGCTGCGCCTTGAGAGGTTCCTGGAGGGGGGAGGGAGAAGTGCGTGCAGGGGGGGGGAGAGGGACAGACAGGTCAGGGGAAGAAGCGACAAGCCACTGTATCCCACTGTACCGCATCTCACTTCACCTCACCCGCTTAATGCTGCTTCGTTGGGCTGTGCAGTCTGCAGCTGGGCCTTGAGAGGTTCCTTGAGAGGGATGAGAGCAGAGCAGCGCATGCAGTTGCAGGGTGTTTTTGAGAATTCTCGGAGACGTAGGGTGTTTTTGAGAATTCTCGGAGATGTAGGGTGTTTTTGAGAATTCTCTAAAACTGCCTACATCTTCTTGAGAGGTTCCTTGAGAGGGATGAGAGCAGCGCATGCAGTTGCAGGTTAGCGGAAGAAGAGACAAGCTACTGTATCACATCCCATCCCAGTGTACCGCACCGCACCTCACATTCTCTCTCTCCAGAGCCAGCAGTCACGTCACGCCTGTACTCGCTCCACCTCATCTTATCCACCTTTCTTTCCCTCTCCTCACCCAATGCACCCCTACCCTCTCACTTCTCACCTTCTCTCTCTCCAAAGCCAGCAGCCGCGCCTGTGCTCGCTCCACCTCGTCTGATCCACCTTGCACCCCAAGCTCCCACCCCACCCACCTTCTCTCGCTCGAGAGCCAGCAGCCACGCCTGGGCTCGCTCCACCTCGTCTGTCAGCAGATTCACCTCGCCCTACTTTCCCTCCCTCCCGCCCTCCCTCCATCACCCAACAGCACACTTCTTGTGAAGGAACCACTCGTCCAACTCCCGCCTCACCTTTTCTCTCTCCAAAGCCAGCAGCCGTGCCTGGGCTCGCTCCACCTCGTCTGTCAGCAGATTCACCTCGCCCTATTTTCCCTCCCTCCCTCACTGCAACACCCAACCCAACCCAACAGCACACTTGTGAAAGCCTCACTCCTCTCCCTCCTCTCCCCATCTCACCTTCTCCCTCTCCAGAGCTAGCAGCCGTGCCTGAGCTCGCTCCACCTCGTCTGTCAGCAGATTCACCTCGCCCTATTTTCCCTCCCTCCCTCACTGCAACACCCAACCCAACCCAACAGCACACTTGTGAAAGCCTCTCTCCTCTCCCTCCTCTCCCCATCTCACCTTCTCCCTCTCCAGAGCTAGCAGCCGTGCCTGAGCTCGCTCCACCTCGTCTGTCAGCAGATTCACCTCGCCCTATTTTCCCTCCCTCCCTCACTGCAACACCCAACCCAACCCAACAGCACACTTGTGAAAGCCTCACTCCTCTCCCTCCTCTCCCCATCTCACCTTCTCCCTCTCCAGAGCTAGCAGCCGTGCCTGAGCTCGCTCCACCTCGTCTGTCAGCAGATTCACCTCGCCCTATTTTCCCTCCCTCCCTCACTGCAACACCCAACCCAACCCAACAGCACACTTGTGAAAGCCTCTCTCCTCTCCCTCCTCTCCCCATCTCACCTTCTCCCTCTCCAGAGCTAGCAGCCGTGCCTGAGCTCGCTCCACCTCGTCTGTCAGCAGATTCACCTCGCCCTATTTTCCCTCCCACCCAACCCAACCCAACAGCACACTTGTGAAAGCCTCTCTCCTCTCCCTCCTCTCCCCATCTCACCTTCTCCCTCTCCAGAGCTAGCAGCCGTGCCTGAGCTCGCTCCACCTCGTCTGTCAGCAGATTCACCTCGCCCTATTTTCCCTCCCTCCCTCACTGCAACACCCAACCCAACCCAACAGCACACTTGTGAAAGCCTCACTCCTCTCCCTCCTCTCCCCACCTCACCTTCTCTCTCTCCAGAGCCAGCAGCCGTGCCTGAGCTCGCTCCACCTCATCTGTCAGCAGAGTCACCTCGCCCTGCTTTCACTCCCTCCCTCCCTCACTGAAACACCCAACAGCACACTTCTTGTGAAAGCACCACTCCTCCAATCTCATTCCATCTCACCTTCTCCCTCTCCAAAGCCAGCAGCCGTGCCTGAGCTCGCTCCACCTCATCTGTCAGCAGAGTCACCTCGCCCTGCTTCGACGCGCGATCCTCCTCTGATGGACAACAATACAGAAGAACGGGGAAGGGCAAGCAGGGGTGAGGGCAGAACGAAGACGGGATGCAGCAGGGAGGGGAGACGGAGAAAGACATACCAGTACTGCACTGCACTGTGGGCCCTGCACCTGGCTCATCTCGTGCAGCAGTTGCATGTTGCTCACTGTGTAGACCATCTGGTCTGGCCGGTGCTGCCACATTGTGCTGTGAAACCATCAGTACTGCATGCCCACCTGATTGCGCCTTGAGCTCGAACAGCTGTGACTGGCTCATCTCGTGCAGTCGCTGCATGTTGCTCACTGTCTCCCTCGCCGCCCTCAGCTGCTCCTGCAGTGCATCCTCTCTGTTGACGGGGGGAGGTAAGGAGGAGAGCAGAGGATGGAGGGAGGATGAGATTCTGAGGAGCCTTATAAATTGACTGTCTTTGGGAAGCCTCACGTCGTCAGGATGGAGGGAGGGAGGGAGGGAGGGAGGGAGAGAGGGAGGGAGGGAGGAAGGGACGTTGGCAGAAGCAAGAGCAGAAACAGGGGAACCAGGAGTGGAAGTGATGGTGAAGTGTGGTGAAGAATGTGAGGCTACCAAACCAAAAAGCCGCAACTAGTCCAGGATTCCAAAGCCGTGAATTTGCGCTGACTTACACTCATTCAAATGACCCGAAACAAAGGATCCTGGAAGGCAGGGTTGAGCTACCTTGACCTGCCTTGACCCTACATTGACCAGCGTTGACTTGCCTTGACTTGAGTGTCTCCATGCTCCGTTGGCTCTCCTCTGCCAGCACATGCTGCTTCATCGCCACCATCTGATGCATACACATGCACACTTGCCCTGACCCTGTACGACCTGCCTTGACCATTGACCTGCGTTGACCAGCGTTGACTTGCCTTGACTTGAGGGTTTCCATGCTCCGTTGACTCTCCTCTGCCAGCACATGCTGCTTCATTGCCACCATCTCCTTCACCTTCTCCTCCATCTGATTGATGCACACAGGGATGCAAGGACAGAGACGCATGCACATGTGCATGTGTGCAGACAGGGACAGACAGAACAGAAGCACGTCAGAAGGAATGGGGGTGCTGCTTCATCGCCACCATCTCCTTCACCTTCGCCTCCATCTGATGCACAAGGATAACGAGAGTCACATAGATGCATACAAGCAGAGACAGCACGGCAGCATGTCTGCTCTCTCCCACCCAACTGCTGCTTCAAATGTCCCTCCACCTGTTCCTTTCCCACCCACCTGCTGCTCCACCCATCTGTCTTCCCCCCACCTGCTTCACCACCTGTCATTCCACATGTGCCTTCCCCCACCCACCTGCTTCTCCACCTGTCCTCCCACCTGTCCCTTCCCCCCACCCACCTGCTGCTCCAGCTGTCGATTTCTCTCCTCCTGTCGTCGCACGGTCGCGTGCTGGTTCTTCAGATGTGCTGACCCAGTCACTCAGCGGTGATCTTGAGCCGATCAAAAGAAACACCTTTCCACCTACCTGCTGCTCCATCTGTCGATCCCTTCAGCAGATTTTTCCCGCCCACCTGCTGCTCCATCTGTCTATCCCGTCAGCTGCCCCCCTCCCAGGCTCCTACCCACCTGCTGCTCCAGCTGTCGGTTTCTCTCCTCCAGCCGTCGCACGGTCGCCTGCTGGTTCTTGAGATGCGCTGACTCAGACCGGAACTCCTCCAGCTCAGCATGCATGCGCCGATTCTCCGCCGCCAGCTCAGCAGCATTCGCTGCCACCTCCTGGAGAGAAGGAAAGGGAAGAGGTTGAGTTGAGACAAGCGCAGGCAGGGGTATGCGAGTTGTGAGGTCGGAATGGTAGAGAAGAGAGTCAAGAGGAAATTCACTTCCTGGAATTGAACGGAGACCCGCAGCAGCAGAAACCAGGGGGCGTACATACATTGAGGATCAAACTTTCGAGGCGCCTCAAAAGTTGTACATTGAGGATCTGTCCGCTGCCCTATATAGCTTCTGATACACTCCCATTAAGGTAGCTCACTATGCACACGACTACTGACAGACAGCTCTAACATGCTAAGGCGGGTTCTCACAGCAGCAGACGCCAGGGACGGCACGGGATCCGGCGCCTTGTATAGCTTTTGGTACACGCCCAAGAAGGCTGCTCAACATGCACACACCCCAGCTTCTACAAATGATGCTCATGCTGCCACAGGTTACAGCACTAAGTTTCTAGAATGGAAACTCACAGCAGCAGACGCCAGGGACGGCACGGGATCCGGAGCTTCATAAAGCTTCTGGTAGACGCCCAGGAAGGCTGCTTCTGCAAACTTGGCGCGCTTTGTGAGGTTGTCCACCTCCTCCTGATACGCCTTGAGGAGTGCGCCGAACAGCTTGCTCTGCTCCTCTTTACCCGCCTTCTTGAAGTCTGCACAAGGTACAAAACGAGGGCACAGACTGGTACGCTTTGTGAGGTTGTCCACCTCCTCTTGATACGCCTTCAGAAGGGCGCCGAACAGCTTGCTCTGCTCCTCTTTGCCTGCCTTCTTGAAGTCTGCAGGCGTACGTACAAAGCAATGAAAGAGGGGGTGGGGGAATGTCAATGTGCTTTGTGAGATTGTCCACCTCCTCCTGGTAGGACTTGAGAAGGGCGCCAAACACCTTGCTCTGCTCCTCTTTACCTGCCTTCTTGAAGTCTGCAGGGCGTACAGAGAGGGAGAACGGTTTGGTATGGTGGGGGAGGTACTTTGAGGGGTGCCTCTAGACTGATGCGCTTTGTGAGGTTGTCCACCTCCTCTTGACATGCCTTGAGAAGCGCGCCGAACAGCTTGCTCTGCTCCTCTCTACCTGCCTTCTTAAAGTCTGCAGGCGTACGTAACGTACAAAGCAATGAAAGAGGCGGTGGGGGAATGTCAATGTGCTTTGTGAGATTGTCCACCTCCTCCTGATATGCTTTCAGAAGCGCGCCGAACAGCCTGCTCTGCTCGTCTCTGGCTGCTTTCTTAAAGTCTGCAGGGCGGATAGAGAGGGAGAACAGGATGGTGGGATGGTGCGGTGGTGCTTTGACGGGTGCCTCTAGACTGATGTTCTTTGTGAGGTACACGTTCAGAAGGGCGCCGAACAGCTTGCTCTGCTCGTCTCTGGCTGCTTTCTTGAAGTCTACAGGAGTGCAGAGAAGGGGGGTGGTTGGAGAATGCTCTATACGGAGGAGACCCGTGTCGTGACTTCCGGCAAAACAAATCAGAGCTGAGCTGACATTGACAACACAATGTAAGATATCTGTCCTGTCGCAGGTAAGTTAGAAGCAAGCAAGCACCCACGGGCCACGGACGGCAAGAACGTTCGCAGTTGATCCTCCTTGGCTCACCGCACTTGAAATCAATCAATCATCACACAAGCCACTTCAGCTCTCATGGTTTCGAGGTGACTTTTGAGTCGACTCAAAAGTCACCACGTTCGCAGTTGGTCCTCCTTCTTTGGCTCACCGCACTTAAAATCAATCAATCATCCCACACACCACTTCAGCTCTCATGGTTTCTGCTTGCTAGATTCCTCCAATTCTTGCTGCTTGCTGCTGCTCGAAGCAATGTCAGCTGTTACTCTTAAGAAAATTATACCCCATTCCATTCGGCCTACCTCGTATTGACTCTGCAAACTTCCTTCCTTCTCTGCAGCCGTCTAGCTCTTACTAACTTTAGTCTCCTGTGATTCAAATCAACTTCAACCTACCTCGTGTCGACTCTGCTAGCTTCCTCCGGTTCTTCTTGGAGCTCGCCTCCAGATTCTCAGCACTTTTCAACCATTACTAACTACAGAAAAACTAATCTATTGACCCCATACCAGCATACCTCGTGTTGACTCGGCCAGTTTCCTCCGGTTCTTGGAGCTCGCCTCCTGATTCTCCGCAATCTTCAGCCCTTGCTCGTCCAAAGACGTTCGTGCGTTCTCCAAGTCAAACTCTGGGAAAGGAAAACGACACAGAGAGGGGGGTTGCTTTGTCAGAAAATCTCGAAGTTCAATCTTCAGGCCTTGCTCGTCCAAAGACGTCCGTGCGTTGTCCAAGTCAAACTCTGGAAAAGGAAAACGGCACAGAAAGAGGGTTCCGTTTTTAACATCTCAAACTCCAGTGCTCAGTCTCCAAGTCGAACGTTGGGACATGAGTAGACACGGAAGGCTACACGAACAGGAAATGAACTTCTACTTGCATTGACATTTAAAAATCCAACATGGACGGGAGTGTGAAGATGCTGGCATATCCAGCGAAACGTAAGCTGACTCGAGAAGATTAGGCACGCGTTTCGAACACAAGGGTGATGGCGAGGGACCGGACTGACGAAAAAAGGTCTTGGGATTGTCGCAGCTTCCATTAGTGTCGGTACTCCAACACTCGTGTCGAAATATTACCAGTGTTGTTGGTACTTTACAGCTATATTGAGATAAAGAGCAATCCGGGAGCTGCTGGAGTCGGTTTTTTTCGACCCAACAACCTGAGAACCTCAATACCTTTCCAGTAATTCAAGATGAAAGGTAATCCGAAGCTACTCGCGTCTGCAGCAACCCTGGCCTCCGTCGATGCGTCGTCCCCAGCTCCTGGTGCCGCGATCGCCGCTGCGGCATCCTTCGCCTCTGATTGGTCCATTTCCTCAAGCGCAAACCAGCGAAAAGGCTACACCCCTGACAGATTATAATGCACTCCGCGCGAGTCGAGAGCGTGCTAGACCAGACGCAGCTAGTCAGGAAACTCAATAGTGCGCTAAGCGGGAGCCTAGAGCGTGCCCTACCACCGACAAGCACGTCAGGGTGGCATGGGTCCGAAACGTTCGAAGTGGCTGGGAAAAAGGACGGGACGGCCTTGGAAACTACGGGTTGCTGCCTGGTTGTTGGAAATCCCCTGAGTGAAATTTGAAGGTTCAGAGCTTTGTTATTTAGGGCACCTACGAACGAGGGCGTTTTCACATTGTACCGATTTCGCATCTGTAACTGAACCTGTCGTCTCCAACCCAGTCTGCCGAGGCTGTAGGGAGAATTGAAAGCCGGCAAGATCGAGGAGGATCATGGTTTGCTAACCGTATTGAAACCACGCTTATCGTCTCTGACATCTACAGAAATATCTCGAAACCCTTTAAACCCCGAGGTCCACAGGTTTCAAAGGTAGGAAGGTTGGTTGGACCTGTGGCCCTTTCAAAGGTAGGAAGGTTGAGGCAATTGGTTGGAGGGAACTTGAGACTCCGGTTTTAAAATACGATCCCAAGAGCGATCCACCCTGATCCTCCTCAAGTTCAATCGGATTGGAGTGACTCCTCGACTTCAACCCGCAACTTCTTATCTTGGAGCCCACAACACATCCCTCCATCGTGATACCACACCATGATTATACCACGGCCCGAAGCAATCGCGCAACCGTAACTTCCAGCCTCAGGACACAGAAGCTCCTAAGCTTCCGCAATATTAGTGTGAAGGATATGTCATGTCCTTAGTATGCCTCTCTAGGCTCTAGCGCGGTCGTCCTTTGGGTTTTGAAACGAACGTGTCAAGAGCTCGGAATTGAGTGCTCTATTTCAGCTTCTAAATCCGTGTAGGACGGATCGAAGCTTCTTTTTAGAAGCCAGAGTATGCTATAGGTCTCGGATATGCCGACACGTGGAGTTTTGGCCAACACACGGAAATCTGGGCCGTTCCTTCGGTATGGGCTACCAATGCTGTCGATGATGGTTGTCGGATCCGTGGGGCTGGGCTACATGGTCCAAGGCAGGTGCGGTTCGGACTGTGTGTGATAAATGGAGGTACTTTAGTACAAGGTGCAAGGCAGGTGTGGTTGATTTAGCCTGGCCCAAGGCATGCTTGCTGCTCCGTTCACTTTGATCCCACGCAAACGAGCCATGGAGCGAGTCTAGGACAATGGTGAGTGGGTTGCAACCCCCTTCCATTCACTCCGCTGCTGCTCCCTCCGCTGCTGCTCACTCCGCTGCTGCTCCCTCCGCTGCTGCTCCCTCCGCTGCTGCTCCCTCCGCTGCTGCTCACTCCGCTGCTGCTCCCTCCGCTGCTGCTCCCTCCGCTGCTGCTCACTCCGCTGCTGCTCCCTCCGCTGCTGCTCCCTCCGCTGCTGCTCCCTCCGCTGCCGCTCTCATCCCTTACAGGCGAGACCAGGAGCGAGCCAAGGATTATGGGAGTGGTGACAACCCACTTGCTGGGCGGCAAGCAACACCGTCTGTCCGTTACATTGCAAGAAACCCCTCATCCGCTCCGTTTGATTTTGGTTTTTTTTTTTTAACTCCATTTCACGAACCCTGCAATATCATCCATCTCATACAGGCGAGACCTGGTGCGAGCCAAGGATGATGGTGAGTGGGCAGAGAGGAACACGACCACCATCTTTCTGTTGCATCTCAAGAAAACAAAAAACAAAAAACAATCTGCTCCGTTCATTCCCTTCCAACCAATCCCATCCATCTCATACAGGCGAGACCTAGAGCGAGCCAAGGATGATGGTGAGTGGGCAAAGAGGAACACCATCTGTCCGTTGCATTGGATGGAAAGGAAACTCTGCTCCGTTTTGCTCCCCTTTCAAACTTCATACATTCCATGCAGGCGAGACCTAGAGCGAGCCAAGGACGATGGCGAGTGGGCAGCGCTGGAGGCAACTCGATCGCTGACCAGGGAGAGCGACATTGGGGAGTTGAAGACTTCGGCCAAGCGGACACCATTAGACCTGGAGGAAGAACTGAAGGTGCGTTGTGAGAGCTCTGAAGGTGAGGTGTGAGAGCCTGGGTGAGAGCTGTGAGGTGCCTCAGGAGTGGGCGGCACTGGAGGCAACTCGGTCGCTGACGAGGGAGAGCGATATTGGGGAGTTGAAAACACCGGCCAAGCGGACACCATTAGACCTAGAGGAAGAACTGAAGGTGCGTTGTGAGAGCTCTGAAGGTGGGCACCTCAGGAGTGGGCGGCACTGGAGGCAACTCGATCACATTGCTGACGAGGGAGAGTGGCATTGGGGAGCTGAAGGCACCTGCCAGGCGGAAAGCAATGGATCTGGAAGAAGAGATGAAGGTGAGTTGTGAGGGGTGAAGATGAGTTGTGAGGGGTGAAGGTGAGCTGTGAGAGCTGAAGGTGAGTTGTAAGAGCCCTGCAAACCCATGCCACTGCTCATGCCCTCTTCTTGCTTCCCGTGTTGTTTTTCTTTGTGTCGTCCCTTCCCACCGTCCCCCTTTTGCAGCGGATGCAACAAAAGATGGATATCAACAATTACGAATTCAAGCCTGTGCCCAAGCCCAAGGAAGAGGAGTGAAGTCAAATACACTGCTCAAAGCCAATGCCTAATGTATAAGCATGTGCCAACCATCATATTAGTACGAGCCTGCGCCCAAGCCCAAGGAAGGAGAGTAATGTACATTCCTATAAATCACCTTTTTAGGGGGTGCCTGCCTGCGTGCCTCATAGGTCATCTCACACCTCTACGGAAGACACCGACCTCCTCTAGGACCGGTATGTCCACAGAAACTTAACAAGATGCTGGCCAGTGTCTCTCCTTTCGAATTCACACGGTTCTTCAATGACAAACCTCCTCCAGGTTGCATGTACGTACGACACTACTGGAGGTGTGCAATGAGGTTAGAGGTCTTATTTATAGATTACTTTTGGGTTCGAGTAAGTGATCTTGCAGTTACTGCAATCTAGCCCGTATTCCTGCTGTGCCAGGTGCCGGTATTTGAAAATATGCTGCTTGACATTAGTGAAGCTGGTGTTTGCGGTGCTTTAATATAGGTAGGTCAGCATTGGCCTGAACCGATGTGCGGTATATAAAGCAAATCGCAATTCTTATGAAACTGGGCAGTAGGCTCATGCTACTGCCATTAGTGTATGGTGGGGTCAATCTGGGCAGCAGATTTCAAATTTTATTGTGTCTGAATTAATCAGCCCTGCACGTGAGGGGGGTCACAGGGCAGAAAGGAAGGCGTGGCAAAATTATTATGCATTGACAGAGTAAAGGGAGAGAGGGAGAGAGGACGAGAGGGAGGGAGGGAGAGAGGGAGGGAAGGAGAGGAGAGAGGGAGCGGAGAGGGAGAGAGGGAGAGGAGAGGGAGAGAGGGAGAGGAGAGGGAGAGAGGGAGAGGGAGAGAGAAAGGGAGGGGGAGTGGATCCGACTGATCAGATGACAAGTATAATGGGGGTGGCATGGAATATGGGCAAGCTCAGGACAAATAAGGATGACGGAATGACACTGGACTGAACCAGCCACGCAGCAGCAGCAGGCAGCAGCGGCGGCGGCGGCGGCGGCGGCGGCAAGGGCGGCGACGGCAGCAGCAGAGGCAGCAGCAGCAGTGGAAGTCGCAGCAACTGCTGAGAGGAAAGAGTTTGAAACTCACTCCATGGATTGGCTTGTTTTGTCTGTATCTGCGGAAGGCACCTTGATGTCTGATGGCAATTGACCCGACTGCAGGGCCTGGTGTGGTGCAATGAGGTGGGGTGGGGTGGGGTGGGATGGGGTGGAGTGGTTTGGGGTGGGGTGGGGCGAAGTAGGGTGAATTTGACCAAGCCCTCAAATAACACCTTCATGTTTGTTGAAAATTTATATCACCCCTGCCTGGTGCGGCGTTGAGTGGTGACGTGTTGTGATGTGATGAGGCAAAGAGTGAAGCTTCTTGTTTGGGACGAACACAAACACTCAAAATGACAACTTGAAGTTGAATTGATTGAATTGCATGGTGTGATGTGATGTGGCGGGGTGGGGTGCGGTGTGGTGTGGTGGGGTGGGGTGGAGTGGAAGTGCGGTGTCGTTCCACAACTGTGTGGGGTACCGACTAGTGGGGTGATGTGCAGAAGGCTTACTAAGATGTCTCAAAGGCAGCATGTTGTGCGGAATAAATGAAGTGCCCCTCAGATCGGCATTTGAGTCGACTCAAAAGGAGACTTTTGACTTCTGAGTCGACTCAAAAGGCAGTAATGTGCTGTGCGGAATAAATGAAGTGCCCCACAGATCGGCTCAAGCTGCAAGCAAGAGAAGCTGCAATCCAACCACCTTTTCCAGGCGAGTTGGCATGAAAGCAGCACAGCCTACCTTCTCCAGACGAGCATAGCATGCAAGCAAGCAGAGCTGAAACAAAGCCTACCTTCTCCAGCCGTGCAACCTCTTCCAATGTCTGAGCCGTGCTGATTGCAGCCTGCAGGGGGAGCAGAACAGAAGCCCGAGGGGACGCAGGGCACGAGGGGCAGAAGAAGACGAAAAGCATGAACAACAAGAAGTGCAACCTCTTCCAATGTCTGAGCCGTGCTGATTGCAGCCTGCAGGGGGAGCAGCGGGAGCATGAAGAGCAGGGGCAGCAGAGGGAGCAGGGAGAGCAGGGGTAGCAGAGGGAGCAGGGAGAGCAGGGGCAGCAGGAGGAACCGGGGCACAATAAGGAAAGCTTTTGAGGCGCCTCAGGGGGAATCGGGGGTGCAGGGATAGAAAGGGCACGTGAGGCAGGCAGCATTAACAGCAACAAGAGGGTTTTCGGTCTGGGTGAGATGTAATTCTGAACATCGCCCATGCAGAGACAGTCTAATTCCCCATGAACCTTCACACATGGAAGGAACTCGTAATCACCTTGATTGCAGTGATCTGCTCCGGTGTTGGCCCTTTCGCTGCTGCTGCTGCTGCTGCTGTAGACCATGCAGGCCACCCAGAGTCACCCTAAAAAACATATCATATCACTCACGCCTGAAAGCACTTAAAGTGAGTGGAACTTGTAATCACCTTGATTGCAGTGATCTGCTCTGGTGTTGGCCCTTTCGCTGCTGCAGCAGCAGCAGCCGCCCCCTCCCCTCCTTCCTTCCCACCATCACCAGCACCACCAGCAGCAGCTGCTCCCTCCGCTCCCCCTCCTGCTTCTGCAAGTGCCTCGCCAGGCACGAACGTGTTTGCTGATACGCGCTTGGCCGCCGCTGCTGCTGCCCTGTCCTTGCCGAATGTTGCCTCTGCCTCTTGCCTCTCCTGAGGGAGGGAAGGGAGGGGAGGGAGAGGGGGCGAGGGGGGAAGGGAGGGGAGGGAGAGGGGGAGGGGGGGGAGAGAGAAAGGATTGATAAAACTTCAAAATGCAAAATTAGAACGCTCATGTACGCACATCACACCTGCACCTTGACCTTCCGAAAGTCCAGGTGGACACCATGCAGAGCAGATGCGGATTGGGCACGTGTAGAGAGGGTGTTTTTGAGACGTCTCAAAATCACACCTGCACCTTGACCTTCCGTCCGAAAGTCCAGGTGGACACCATGCAGAGCAGATGCGGATTGGGCAGCAGGTGGATGGCATAGAAGCGGTGTTTTGGCTTCTTGACGACAGTGCTGTCAAGGAGAAGCGAGAGCGAGGAGAGTGAGGGAGAAAGAGGAGCGGAAGGACAGGAAGGACAGGAAGGACAGGAAGGACAGGAAGGACAGGAAGGACAGGAAGGACAGGAAGGGCAGGAAGGGCAGGAAGGACAGGAAGGACAGGAAGGACAGGAAGGACAGGAAGGACAGGAAGGGCAGGAAGGGCAGGAAGGACAGGAAGGGCAGGAAGGACAGGAAGGGCAGGAAGGACAGGAAGGGCAGGAAGGGCAGGAAGGGCAGGAAGGGCAGGAAGGGCAGGAAGGGCAGGAAGGGCAGGAAGGGCAGGAAGGGCAGGAAGGGCAGGAAGGGCAGGAAGGGCAGGAAGGGCAGGAAGGGCAGGAAGGGCAGGAAGGGCAGGAAGGGCAGGAAGGGCAGGAAGGGCAGGAAGGGCAGGAAGGAAGGGCAGGAAGGGCAGGAAGGGCAGGAAGGGCAGGAAGGGCAGGAAGGGCAGGAAGGGCAGGAAGGGCAGGAAGGGCAGGAAGGGCAGGAAGGGCAGGAAGGGCAGGAAGGGCAGGAAGGGCAGGAAGGGCAGGAAGGGCAGGAAGGGCAGGAAGGGCAGGAAGGGCAGGAAGGGCAGGAAGGGCAGGCCCATTAGCATACCTTGAGATTTGAGGCGGCTCAATTTTTTTTACCTTTGAGGCGCCTCATGACTTTTGAGGCGCCTCAAAAGAAGCGGAAGGACAGGAAGGACAGGAAGGACGGGCCCACTAGCGTACATTGAGCTTCACTTTGCGAAAGTCCAGCAGTCGCAGCTTGGGCAGCAGGTGGATGGTGTAGTGTAGAGGCGGTACTTGGGCTTCTTGACAACGGTGTTGTCGAGGAGAGAGAGCGAGGTGAGGGAGGGAGGGGAGCGGCATGTGGGAGTGGAGTGGGACAAGAGTCAATGCAAGAGTCACACTGACATGACGTACCTTCAGCTTGACCTTGCGAAAGTCCAGCAGCCGCAGTTTCGGCAGCAGGTGGATGGCATAGAGGCGGTACTTGGGCTTCTTGACGACGGTGTTGTCCAGGAGAGAGAGCGAGGTGAGGGAGTGGGCCAGAGATGCGAGTGGGTCGAGATCCGCCAGGTTGGTTAGGCGATTGTTGGCCAGGACTAAGGTCTGCAGCTTGGGGAGTTGGGCTGGTGAGGGTGTGGGGGGGGAGAGAAGAGGCGGGAGGAAGACAAGGGAGAGGAAAAAGGGAGGAAAAAACGGAGTAAGAAAGGAGTCAGGGAGACGGGAAGGAAGGTGTGATGGCGTGAGGGAGGAGAGGGGGGCAGAAGGAGGAGAGGAGTGGGAGGTGAGGGAACGGGCCAGGGATGTGAGCGGGCGGATGTTGGCGAGAACGAGGGAATGTAGCTTGGGGAGTTGGGCTGGTGTGGGGGGGGGGGGGGTAGGGGAAAGGGGAGGGGGAGAAGGGAGCGGGTCGAGATCCACCAGGTTGGTGAGACGAGGGAACGAGGGAACCAGGGTCTGTAGCTTGGGGAGGTGGGCTGTTGAGGAAAGGGAGGGGGAGGGGAGGGGGGAAAGGGAGGGGGAAGAAAGGTGTGATGATGGGGAGAGGAAAGGAGGGACGACGGGCCAAGGCAAGGGAAGAGCAGCAGAGTGGAGAACAGAGTAACGTGTCTAGTTGACTTAGTGGCACCACATGTTCCGTACTGCCTTGCTGAAGGTTGATCTGTGTAATATGAGTGTTGTGTTGCAGAGCAGCAGAGTGGGGCGTGGTATAGTAGTGTCAGTTGTCAAACACATGATAGGCCACCACACGATACGTACAACCTAGCTGGGGGCTGATGCGGGTGATGCGGTTGTTGCAGAGCAGCAGCGTGGAGAGCAGTGCAGGTAACGTAACATGGTAACACACCGCCACACCACGTGATACGTACTACCTAGCTGGGGGCTGATGAGGGTGATGCGGTTGTTGCAGAGCAGCAGCGTGGAGAACCGAGCTGGTAACACGGTAACAAAGTAACAGTAGCAGCACACACACAGCATCACCCCGTGATACGTACTACCTAGCTGGGGGTTGATGCGAGTGATGCGGTTGTTGCAGAGCAGCAGAGTGGAGAGCCGCCGCAGCAGCGGGAACCCCTCCAGCTTCACTATTTCGTTGTCTGACAGGTCGATGCTGTCAAACAGGTCCTGTGCGGTGGAGTGGGGTGCGGAAGGGAATTCACTAGATTGGTGGGCCAAAAAGGGAGATGCAGCAGCAGGAACCCCTCCAGCTTCACAATCTCGTTGTCTGACAGGTCGATGCTGTCAAACAGGTCCCAGTTGGTGGGGTGGGGTGGGGGAGGATACACGGGTTGGAACAGAATATGGGTTGATATGAGTGGAAATTCAGCTGTGGGAATCCCTCCAGCTTCACATTAAGGGGAAGGGTCTAGGGGATGGGTTTTAAAAAGCAGCGCCTAGATTTTCAATGTCAAGCAATATAAAATCCCGTTAATCGGCTACGAAAGCAAGGGTCCGTGGAATTAGGTCTAAGGGGAAGGGTCTGTAAAATTGGTATAAACATGCATGTGAAATTCGGAAAAGGAAGCTTAAGGGCACTGCTTTGGAGAGGAAGGATCATGGAGGGAAGCAGATAGAGCGCTCACCTCGGTGGCTCCGAGATTCTCAATGACTGCGATCTTATTCCCTGTCACGCATGCAGGGACATCGTACAGTAACACATTGTGCGGACGCAACATGCAGTCAGGTTATACAGTCACATCGCGTGCACGGAGACAGTTGTGTGCTTGAAACGATGTACATCTGACCAAAGAAGAGGACGGAGACGGAAAATACGGAAATCTATTTTGGAAAATAATTGACTTGACGACGTTAGATTGACGGCGTTAGCATGATACGAACAGAATCACAGCGACGTCAAGGTGGAAGAGGTATTTAGAAAGACGACTCAGAATTGAATGGCCGAGAAAAAATATTTTGCAAATTTCAACGTTCTACTGAAATAATCTGGGTCAAAATGCATGTCAGTAACGGGGTTCTGCCTTAACTGAGAATTAAGAGGAAAATTTTGTCGATCCGCCGAAGCAGACTTCTCTGGTAATATATCGAATTGGTCCATGGCGAAATCGGTTCCCGTAGACTACGGCACATTAGGGCTCGTCAAAAATCAAAATTTGCTTTTGTGCGACTAAAAAGCCACACGTTTCGAGCGATGGTAAGGTGTCACGCACCTCTCAGATCAATTTCTCGTTCTCGCACCGCGTTGAAATACTGCGGCGACTCGAGGATCAGATCAGCGGTTAAACGGACCATGATGGCGCCACCTGACGAAGGCTAGCGAAATCCGTCAGACGGAACGGCGTAAGCTAGCCAACGCTAACAACTCACGCAGCGCGTGTAAAGAAGCGGATACACAACCACTCTCGAACGAATCGGCCGGTACAGACCTAAGTTCAATGGGAATGGCGGATGAAGCGGTTCGAATAGTGGAAATGGCCTGCTAGCTGCTGGCTGAGCGATGAGATGGGCTGTTGAGGAAAGTGAGGGCAGCCTCCCTTTCCCCCCCTCCCCTCCCCCTCCCTTTCCTCAACAGCCCACCTACAAAGTGTATTTGTATGTGTTGTCAGCTCACATACCACGGTTTTGTATGGTTTTTTGCGGTCCAAACTGGTAGACACGGTAGATCCTTTGTAGCTCTGTCGAAAGTTACTGAACCGTGCAAAACACAGTTAGCATCGTTCACAACTCCGCTGTGACCCCTATAAACTCTCTCCTACATTTGGCTGGCTTCGCTCTGCCTGGTTGACACGCACCTGCCAAACACTGTCTCCCAGAATTAGCACGAAGCTTCGAAGCTTTATGTGCCACGTCGTCATAATGAGCCCACATCGCACTCTTTGTGCAAGCTTTTTGTGAGTAGTAGTCAGTTTGGGCAACGCAGTTCTAATCATCAGCCGTGAGTTACACACATAGCGAACTATTCTTTCGCCTTTTACTAAAGAATACCGTGTGCGTTTCTCATCAAGCGGCATATCACAATTTTTGGAGTGCCTTTTCGGAGGCACCACAAATGAATCTTGAAACGGGATTGGTTTCTTGACTGGGAAGGAGAATCTGTTCTTTCTTTCGTTGCAATCACATAACCTTGTAAATTGCCAAGGGAAGTCCCTTGAGAATTTCACAAGAATGTGGAATATCTATTTCTAAAATGCCCTCCACACACGTTCTCATTCCAACCTGTGAACGGACCATAAATGTGAAAATTCGGCTCACCATACCATGACAGAACTTCAGAAAATTCCAAAAACTAGCTTCTTCATTACCATCAGCCAACTTCGCCACTTCCAGACCCCATCTGCTCTTAGCGCTTCAGCCGGTCGGCATTTAGTCCCCATTCGCTATTGTCACCAATTTACCTCATCACCATGGCGTCAAGGCCGGCTTCTGATTCGCTACCCGTTCCGCGCACTCTGCTCCCGCGAATCCACACGGACTCCGTGTTATGCTGCCACGTGGACTCTTCCGATTGCCTCCTCGCGACTGGCAGCGAGGTGAGGCCTGTCGAGACTCGCACGCTACTTAGCCTAGCGTAGTAACCTTATCGCGAAAACGATTTGTCTCGCGTCACACGCTACGAGGCGTCTCGCTTTGGACGCTAGCGGAAGGAAATCCGCGTTACTAGGGTTCGCGAAACCCGTCAACCCAAACCCACGTGGTCGTCGACCGTCAGTTGCGGAGCCGTTAGCTCGTTTTGTTCTTAACCATGCCTGTCATGTTCTTGACGCGGATATGCTGTTCGGTTTTCCAGTGCATGCTTTTCCGGTTCTCATCACACACACCCATCATGCACCCATGATGCACCCATCATACACGCATGCCTGCACTCATCGTACACCCTAAAGCAAGCTTTCTGTGAGAAGCAGCGAGGTGCCTTATGATGGGTCGAATCACAAGGCAATCTTGTGTGCGCTTATCTCTGCACTGCATCCCTGCACGAGCACATCCCTGCACCCTCCCGTGCATTCACCCCCATTCAGGATGGTAGCATGGCGGTGTGTGTGAGACCTGCTCGCCTCAGCGAGGCGACTTCTGATTCCACTCATTCATCCCTGCATTCCTGCATCGCTGCATGCACTGCACACATCACTGCACGCCCCCGTGCATTCACCCCCATTCAGGATGGCAGCATGGCGGTGTGTGACCTGCAGTCCTTAGTGAGGTGACAGTAGAGTCCTCACTCACTGAGATGACTCACAACAAGCCTTTCCTGATCCTCGCTCACAAGCTTTCCTGATCCTCGCTCACAAGCTTTCCTGATCCTCGCTCACAAGCTTTCCTGATCCTCGCTCACAAGCTTTCCTGATCCTCGCTCACAAGCTTTCCTGATCCTCGCTCACAAGCTTTCCTGATCCTCGCTCACAAGCCTTTCCTGATCCTCGCTCACAAGCCTTTCCTGATCCTCGCTCACAAGCTTTCCTGATCCTCGCTCACAAGCTTTCCTGATCCTCGCTCACAAGCCTTTCCTGATCCTCGCTCACAAGCTTTCCTGATCCTCGCTCACAAGCCTTCCCTACATGAACATTGCACACATCCCTGCACCCCTGCATTCCTGGATCCTTGCATGCAATACAGGACGGCAGCATGGCAGTCTGTGACCTGCGCTCCCCAGCGCAAACCCCTCCCATCCACCTCACCTGCTTCGGCGGAGCCTCAGTGCCGAGCCTGCTCTTTCTCCCAGGTACGTTGCTCCTTGCTCCGGGCCTACCCTTGTGATCCCCACTCCCAAGGTCGGATCTTCTTTGGATTTTTCTCAATCCGCCACCCACTCCTACGGCCTCGCACCTCCCTCTGTGCGCACCATTTGTTTCCGCTCTCGTTGTCTCTTTCCCTCAGACTCCCTTCCCTTGCTGCATCCCCCATCAGCGTAAGAGCATGCTTTGGCAATTGCTGCTCGCGCCTGAAGCTTATCTTACCGTTTCCTTCCCGTCCCTTCTCATGCCCTCGTCCTCCCATCACCAGCGCAAGAGCATGTGCTGGCAGTTGCTGCTGCTGCCCACTCCTGACATAACCTTACACGGCCATACCAACTTGCCCACCTCCCCTCTCATCCCCTCCTCCCTGGCTGCCTGTGTTCCTCCTCCCATCCCCCCATCAGCGCAAGAGCATGTGCTGCCAGCTGCTGCCCACTCCTGACATAACCTTACACGGCCATACCTACTTGCCCACCTCCCCTCTCATCCCCTCCTCCCCCGCTGCCTGTGTTCCTCCTCCCATCCCCCCATCAGCGCAAGAGCATGTGCTGCCAGCTGCTGCCCACTCCTGACATAACCTTACACGGCCATACCAACTTGCCCACCTCCCCTCTCATCCCCTCCTCCCCCGCTGCCTGTGTTCCTCCTCCCATCCCCCCATCAGCGCAAGAGCATGTGCTGGCAGCTGCTGCTGCCCACTCCTGACATAACCTTACACGGCCATACCTACTTGCCCACCTCCCCTCTCATCCCCTCCTCCCCCGCTGCCTGTGTTCCTCCTCCCATCCCCCCATCAGCGCAAGAGCATGTGCTGGCAGCTGCTGCTGCCCACTCCTGACATAACCTTACACGGCCATACCTACTTGCCCACCTCCCCTCTCATCCCCTCCTCCCCCGCTGCCTGTGTTCCTCCTCCCATCCCCCCATCAGCGCAAGAGCATGTGCTGGCAGCTGCTGCTGCCCACTCCTGACATAACCTTACACGGCCATACCTACTTGCCCACCTCCCCTCTCATCCCCTCCTCCCCCGCTGCCTGTGTTCCTCCTCCCATCCCCCCATCAGCGCAAGAGCATGTGCTGGCAGCTGCTGCTGCCCACTCCTGACATAACCTTACACGGCCATACCTACTTGCCCACCTCCCCTCTCATCCCCTCCTCCCCCGCTGCCTGTGTTCCTCCTCCCATCCCCCCATCAGCGCAAGAGCATGTGCTGGCAGCTGCTGCTGCTGCTGCAAACTCCTGACATAACCAAACACGGCTCTACCTACTTGCCTTGCCCCATCATCATGCCCATCTCATACCCCCATCATCCCATTTCCCCATCATCAGGTCAGGAGCATGTGCTGGCAGGCAGCTGCTGCCGGCTCATAGCATGACCTTATACGGTTTTACCAACTTGGCCCCCTCCCTTCCCATGCCCTCCTCCTTCCATGCCTCCGCCAGGTCAGGAACATGTGCTGGCAGCTGCTGCCGGCTCATAGCATAACCTTACACGGTTTTACCAACTTGGCCCCCTCCCTTCCCTTCCCATGCCCTCCTCCTTCCATCCCTCCGCCAGGTCAGGAACATGTGCTGGCAGCTGCTGCCGGCTCCTCTGTCTTCCTTGTTGACAGACGAAAGGTGGGGGGAGAAGGGGAGGAAGGGAGAGAAGGTTGAGAAGTTGGGGGGAGGTATGGGGGAGGGAAGGGGGGTGGGGGAGAAGTGGCATGTGCTTGCAGCTGCTGCCGGCTCCTCTGTCTTCCTTGTTGACAGACGAAAGGTGCGGAGGGAAGAAAGGGCGAGAGATGGATGGGTGGGAGAAAAGGGGGGAGGGACCGGGAAAAGGGGGGGAAAGGAGGAGACTGTGGGGACAAGGGGGGGGCTGTTGGGGGAAGGGGCGGATGTGAGGGGAAGGGGGAGAAACCATGTGCTGCAGCTGCATCAGAGTCGTCTGTTCTTTTCTTTTCCGTTGCTAGACAATCTGCAGTCAGAGGGAGTTATCTATCATACTCTCCATCTCACCATCTCATCATCTCTCAGAAATCTCAAAAAATGCCCCAGAGGTTCGTTTTGGGACTCCATCTCCTCATGTTTCTTAGTCTCAGATGTTTATTTATGTAACCGTTGCGATTGCATTGCATGGCATGGCATGGCATGGCATGGCATGGCATGGCATGGCATGGCATGGGGTTGTCCGGGCATGGCATGGCTTACTATGTTCACTCTGTATTGCCGTCGTTGCCTGTGGTGGCATGAAATGGGTCGCCATGGCATGGTATGGCGTGGTATGGCATGGTATGGCATGGGATAGCGTGACATGGCATGGCATTGAATGCCATGGCATAAAATGGCATGTGATTTGAGGCATGGCATGATGGGATGCATGTTGTTTGTCAGGCAGGAGGATCGTCAGATGGATCAGAGGCCATAATCCGACGGCTGTCATTCAATGCTGATGAAATCAACGCTGTAATACTAATCTTTTGTACTCACTCACTCACTCTCTCTCTCTCTTCCCTTGCTCGCTCTCCCCAGCCCTTTCCATCCACTCCTCCCTCCCTCTGCCTGTGCATTTTATTCTTGTAAAACACACTATCGTTTCTGTATCCTCCTCAGCTCGATTCTTCAAACCCTCGCAAACTATCGAGTCTAACTCACAGATGACTGTCTGCACCTCTCATAACCCCTCTCCACCGCTCTCCACCAGCTGGCAGTGGACCGGAAAGGCGACTTCCTGGCAGCAGCAGACGATTCAGGCCAAGTCAAGGTTTGTGCATGCAAATTGTGAATTATATGTTGGTATTAATTTTGTTGCAGTGAAATCCAGCCAAGTCATGGTGCATGCGTTGCGTGCACAAGTCAAGGCAACTATTCCTTCTCGTTAGCGCTAGTGCCTTTTGATTCGACTCAAAGTGTCTTTTGAGTCGACTCAAAAGTCATCCAGCCAAGTCATGGTGCATGCGTTGCGTGCACAAGTCAAGACAACTATTCCGTCTCGTTAGCGCTAGTGCCTGGAACAGACCAGAACAGCTTGTGTGCTGTGCGGTGCACCTTATGTGCGCCCCAATCCCCATTTTTGGGTCGACTCAAAAAGAGTTCGTTGTATACCTTGTCCTGTCCGCCTTGCGCATTCTCGTTAGCGAGGTGACTTTTGAGTCGACTCAAAAGTCACATAGTTTGTTGTACACCTTGTCTTGTCCGCCTTGCGCATTCTCGTTAGCGCTACTGCCTGGAAGTTGTTTAAAGGCGGATTCGATCGCAGCAAGCCAACTGAGGTCGCTCTGTGTCTAGATCTAAATGGATCTAAATAGTTTGTTTGTACACCCTGTCTTGTCCGCCTTGCGCATTCTCGTTAGCGCTACTGCCTGGAACAGAACAGAACTGCGATGCACCTATTATGTGTCTCAGCCCCCATAATTCCCCCCATCAGGTCGTCAGCCTAATCAACCACTCTCTGCACCGCACTGAACCATTCTCCATCCCGTGTCTTGCCCTCCTTTCTCGCTCGTCAGGTCATCAGCCTGATTAACCACTCACGGCATCGAACCCTTCGCGGCGTGCACAGCTCAGTAAAACACTCTCGAGGGGCCAACCACTCCCTGCACCGCACTGAACCGTTCTCTATCCCGTGTCTTGCCCCCCTCTTCTCCCCTCTCCTCAGGTCATCAGCCTGGTCAACCACTCGCTACATCGAACCCTCCGGGGTGTCCATTGCTCGGTAATACAGCTTTACTGGTCAACCACTCATTGCACCGCACTGAACCGTTCTCCATCCCATGCCATGCCGTACCCCTCTTCTCCCCCCTCATCAGGTCATCAGCCTGGTCAACCACTCGCTACATCGAACCCTTCGGGGTGTCCATAGCTCGGTAATTTCCGTGGCGCCTAAAAAAACTTCCATAACTTGGTAATGTGACCAAAGCCCGAGGTGTATTACCAAGTTATACACCCAGTAGTTGGGAAATTCAGCTCAAATGGTCAACAAATTACCAATATGGTGGTTGTAGTTGGGTTAGTTTCCCTCAATCCAAATCCCGTGATCAAATCACACATGTCAATTATGAAGATTCATTCAGTTTCATTTCACCCATGCTCTACTCCTCTTTCCTCTTCTTCCCTCCACTTCCCTCCACTTCCCTCCTCTTCCCTCCTCGTCCCTCCACTTTCCTCCTCTTCCCTCCTCTTCCTTCCTCTTCCCTCTACTCCATCCACACCATGCATGTCTGTGCGGCAGATCTGCAGCTCCGTTCTGCTTTCCCTACGCATCCCTTGTGTTCATAGATGCAACTCTATGTGTTGTGCTCCCCTGTATTTCCCTGTTCCTTCCACCCACACCATGCATGTCATGTCTGTGCGGCAGATCTGCAGCTCTGTCCTGTTCCACCCCAAGCAGCCATGGCAATGTGAGTTCCGAGAAGTCTCTTTATCGGGCTCTTGAAAATGTTTATCACTTCGTTTTGTCTCCAATGCGTGTCCCCACGGCAGATCTGCAGCTCTGTCCTGTTCCACCCCAAGCAGCCATGGCAATGTGAGTTCTGATCTCATGCATACTCAATCCCATTCAGTCAAGCCAGCCTGGTTTTTTTAAGGCGCCTCGCGCGCGGTCCGTTTCGCCTCGAATTCAACGTTCTCGTAAAGCCGAACCGGACCACAACCACGCGGAACCAAGTATCACACTTGGCACCGAGGTGAGTTGACTTTTGAGTCGACTATTGAGGCACTGCGATCGAATCCGCCCTTAAACAACGGCACCGAGGTCACTTTTGAGTCGACTCATAAGACACTTGGCACCACCCTTACATCACAACCTTTTGCGTGCCCCAGTAGCCTCTTGCCACCTCGTCCATGCTAACTCCAAACATTAAACCTGTCATTGTTCCCCCCTTTCTCGTTATAAGTTTTTTGGACGCCTCAAAAGTAGTCTCCTCGCTGTTCTCGACTATCGTTGCGCTCAATGGGACTTTGCCTGGGGACTAAATCCCTCTATAAATGTTTCCTCTTCTCTTCCTCTCATCCTCTCTCCACGATCGCCCTCCAGTAGTCTCCTCGCTGTTCTCGACTATCGTTGCGCTCAATGGGACTTTGCCTGGGGCCTAAATCCCTCTATAAATGTTTCCTCTTCTCTTCCTCTCATCCTCTCTCCACGATCGCCCTCCAGTAGTCTCCTCGCTGTTCTCGACTATCGTTGTGCTCAATGGGACTTTGCCTGTGGCCTAAATCCCTCTATAAATGTTTCCTCTTCTCTTCCTCTCCCCTCATCCTCTCCCAACCATCGCCCTGCAGTGTTCTCAGCTGCTCTCGACTGTAGCTGGGCCCAATGGGACTTTGCCTCTGGCCGACCCCTCCGCTTGTTAATGTTCTTTCCATAATCACCAGACCAGAGCCGTCACCCCTTCCCTTTCCTCCCCTCCTCCCAACGATCGCCCTGCAGTGTTCTCCGCTGCTCTCGACTGTACCTGGGCTCAATGGGACTTTGCCTCTGGCCGACCCCTCCGCTCAGTCAACCTGTCGGCAGATACCACCTCCCCCAATATACCCTCCCCCGGTGCACCCTCCTCCTCTTCCTCCTCCCCCTCCATTTCGTCGCGCATGTGTAATCCTCCCTTCATCCACTGTCTATCTGCTCTCCACATTCCTCCTGAGAAAGTTTCTTCTAGTGCTACCGGCACTGCCACCACCACCACCGCTGCCGCTGCCGCTGCTGCTGGCACTGCTGCTGGTGGTGAAGCTTGGAGGACACGTGGTGTGACGTTATTGGCTGTGGCGCAGGGCGATGGCACTGTAGCAGTGTGGGATGCTGATGCTGACGTGGATGGGGAGGGGGAGAGGAGAGGAGGAGGAGCGAGAGGTGGTGGGCAGGAGGAGAGGAGGAGGAGCGGAGGGAGAGGGGGAGGAAGAGGAAGAGGAAGAGGTAGGAGAGGACGAGGAAGTTTGGGAAGAGGGGGGAGTGAACGACCTAGGGATGGTATTGCTGCTGTTCCTGCAACGATTGCAGAGGATTCGGAACTGGTTAACGAAGAAGCTTGTAACGGGGACACATGTGCAGCAGCAAGGGAAGGGGGGGCGGAAAGGGAGGGGAGAGAAGAGAAGGTGGAGGAGGCAATAAAGAAAGGATCTCGGCTACTTGTGTTTGGAGGGCCCATGGCAGGAGCAGCTGCTACAGCCGGTGGGGTGGGAGGTGGTGAGGGGAGTGGTGGGAGTGGTGAGGCGGGTAGGGGAAACGGGGAAGGAGGAGGGGTAGCAGCGAGAGAAGGAGGGATGCGCGGTCATTGCGCATCAGTCTCTGCTGTGTGAGTGTGAGCAGAGTGACTTCCTTCCTGCCTCTGCCCTTCTCCCCGCCTCTCCCTCCGCCCCTCTCCCCGCCTCTCCTTCCGCCCCTCTCCCCGCCTCTCCATCCGCTCCTCTCCCCGCCTCTCCCTCCGCTCCTCTCCCCGCCTCTCCCTCCGCCCCTCTCCCAGCCTCTCCCTCCGCCCCTCTCCCCGCCTCTCCCTCCGCCCCTCTCCCCGCCTCTCCCTCCGCCCCTCTCCCTGCCTCTCCCTCCGCCCCTCTCCCAGCCTCTCCCTCCGCCCCTCTCCCAGCCTCTCCCTCCGCCCCTCTCCCCGCCTCTCCCTCCGCTCCTCTCCCCGCCTCTCCCTCCGCTCCTCTCCCCGCCTCTCCCTCCGCCCCTCTCCCCGCCTCTCCCTCCGCCCCTCTCCCCGCCTCTCCCTCCGCCCCTCTCCCCGCCTCTCCCTCCGCCCCTCTCCCCGCCTCTCCCTCCGCCCTTCTCCCCGCCTCTCCCTCCGCCCCTCTCCCCGCCTCTCCCTCCGCCCCTCTCCCCGCCTCTCCCTCCGCCCCTCTCCCCGCCTCTCCCTCCGCCCCTCTCCCCGCCTCTCCCTCCGCCCCTCTCCCCGCCTCTCCCTCCGCCCCTCTCCCCGCCTCTCCCTCCGCCCCTCTCCCCGCCTCTCCCTCCGCCCCTCTCCCAGCCTCTCCCTCCGCCCCTCTCCCCGCCTCTCCCTCCGCCCCTCTCCCCGCCTCTCCCTCCGCCCCTCTCCCCGCCTCTCCCTCCGCCCCTCTCCCCGCCTCTCCCTCCGCCCCTCTCCCCGCCTCTCCCTCCGCCCCTCTCCCCGCCTCTCCCTCCGCCCCTCTCCCCGCCTCTCCCTCCGCCCCTCTCCCTCCGCCCCTCTCCCCGCCTCTCCCTCCGCCCCTCTCCCCGCCTCTCCCTCCGCCCCTCTCCCCGCCTCTCCCTCCGCCCCTCTCCCCGCCTCTCCCTCCGCCCCTCTCCCCGCCTCTCCCTCCGCCCCTCTCCCCGCCTCTCCCTCCGCCCCTCTCCCCGCCTCTCCCTCCGCCCCTCTCCCCGCCTCTCCCTCCGCCCCTCTCCCCGCCTCTCCCTCCGCCCCTCTCCCCGCCTCTCCCTCCGCCCCTCTCCCCGCCTCTCCCTCCGCCCCTCTCCCCGCCTCTCCCTCCGCCCCTCTCCCCGCCTCTCCCTCCGCCCCTCTCCCCGCCTCTCCCTCCGCCCCTCTCCCCGCCTCTCCCTCCGCCCCTCTCCCCGCCTCTCCCTCCGCCCCTCTCCCCGCCTCTCCCTCCGCCCCTCTCCCCGCCTCTCCCTCCGCCCCTCTCCCCGCCTCTCCCTCCGCCCCTCTCCCCGCCTCTCCCTCCGCCCCTCTCCCCGCCTCTCCCTCCGCCCCTCTCCCCGCCTCTCCCTCCGCCCCTCTCCCCGCCTCTCCCTCCGCCCCTCTCCCCGCCTCTCCCTCCGCCCCTCTCCCCGCCTCTCCCTCCGCCCCTCTCCCCGCCTCTCCCTCCGCCCCTCTCCCCGCCTCTCGCTCCGCCCCTCTCCCTGCCTCTCCCTCCGCCCCTCTCCCCGCCTCTCCCTCCGCCCCTCTCCCCGCCTCTCCCTCCGCCCCTCTCCCTGCCTCTCCCTCCGCCCCTCTCCCTGCCTCTCCCTCCGCCCCTCTCCCAGCCTCTCCCTCCGCCCCTCTCCCTGCCTCTCGCGTCCCTGTGCCTCTGGGTGCATCGGCCGTCCACCTCCTCCGACCTTGCTCTCAGATGTTGCTCAAGCCCGCTCCATCTCCTCTCTTCTTTTCTCCATCTCCTCTCTTCATTTCTCCACCTCCTCTCTTCATTTCTCCACCTCCTCTCTCCAACCACTTCTCCCCTCCCCCTCACACCCACCAGCACCTTCTGCCGCTTTGCTCCCCTTTCTGCCCCTCTTCTCGCCTCTGGGGGCAACGACCGACTCGTGCTGCTCTGGGATGTGACGCACGCACTCTCCCCCTTCCTCCTCCTCTTCCTCCTGTGATTGCCTGCAAAACTCCCCTCCTTTCCCCCTCCGCTGTTCTTTCCTGCTAACCTCCCCTTCCCTCCTTGTCCTCCCCTGTTCCCCACCAGCACCTTCTGTCGCTTTGCTCCCCCGTCCGCCCCTCTGCTCGCCTCTGGGGGCAACGACCGACTCGTTCTTCTCTGGGATGTGGCACACGCACTCTCTCCCTCCTCCCCGTCATCCTCCTCTGCCTGTTCGTCCCGAGATATAGAGGGCAGCGGGACGGAAAGTCCTGCTAGTGAGTCTGACACTAGCGAGGATGAAGTGCGGAAAGCGGCGGGTGGGAGGGCATTGTTGGCGCCAATCGTTCGCATACAGCATGGGCGGAAGGTGAGAGGGGGAAGACAGGGCGCTAAGGGAGGACAGAGGTGTCTTTCCATGGGTTTCAAATTTGTGAGCCCTTTCTTGTCGGCACATGGCAGGTGAATTTTCTCTCTACATCATTTGGGGTACGCGGTCGAAAGCTCTTTGTTGCGGACACCTCAAAGAGGGTCTCTGCTTACGACATCCCTGCATAATCTGGTGTAAACAGACGATGTTCTCTTACCAGTGTATTACCTTTTCATTAAATGTGTTGACCATGGTGTACATGCATTTCTAGTACGGTATGAGATTATGCTGACGCAGTTGCATTTGTTGTCAGATTAGCTTCTATGAAATGGTCCATTCACTGCGCACACATATAGCACCGTGCTTTACCGATTCAATTTGGAGCCCAACAAAGCCGTTGGGTGACACGTCCTCTATCACCACGTGGAAGATACCGCCTTCGTCAAGTGGCCACAGCCACAGCCTCGTAAGCCGATTAGGACAACCTTTGCATCTGCACCACACATCTGACAGAATGGATTGCCTCCATGGTGGAGTCCTGACGAAGTAGGGATCAACGCCAGCACGATGGGAGATTCCACCGAGACAATCAACGGTGAGTTTCGAGCGTCAATGTTTGCGTCAGAGAGACCATTCCACGTGGCGACAAAGCTGGGATGGCCAGCAGTTCATCAACTTTCCGATGCCACATCAGCCTGGATCTTACCGCTTGTCGAGCTTGTGGTGGTGACGCTGATGGTTGGTTCGGACAGGCTGCATAACGAAACCTGCTTCAAACGAGTATGGCTGAGTGGGACTCCCTAGGACCTTTCTAGGCCAATTCCAGGACCCGCATTGCAAGAGTATCGTCATTTTCTCATACCTGTCAGCTGGAGCTCCTTATTCTGCTCGTGTTTGACTCTCCATTAATTCTACACCGAGCAGTGTAACTTAACTCCAGCAACCATGGCTTCCCTCATCGCCAAGACCCCCGTCGCAGCGCAGACGGCGACGCTGAAGTCGTCGTTCCTGGGCTCCAAGCCACAGGCGAAGGCTGCGAGCGCTGCGGTGCCAGTGAAGAGGGCTGACGCGCGTGTGGTGTGCCAGGCTGGCGACCGTTGGGGTGGGCTGGGCCGCGATGGGTCCGACGACCAGCAGGACATCACCCGCGGCTACGGCATGGTCGACGCCGCCTTCCAGGTGAGCCGTTGGACGTCTAACTCATTTCTATTTCAGCTCCTTTGTTAGTTCCTTGGGACGTTTGCTCCTCTCTATGTCAGTTCCTTTCGGTGTTAGTTCCTCGAGACGTCAGCTCCCCTGGATGTAAATGCAAGTTGGTGTTGCACTGTGGAAGAAGAACGGTAACGAAAGCAGGCACTGAATTGCAGGACAATGCTTCGTTATCCTTTTTTTTTTTTTTTTTTTTTTTTTTTTTTTGTCAGTTGTGACGTTGTATAATCGCGGTCGTTTCCTGACCTGGTGATGTTGTGCTGCGTGCAGGGTGCTCAAGGTGGCACGCACAAGGCTGTCCTGTCGTCGTACGACTATGTCAGCCAAGGCCAAAGGAGGTAAATCACTTTACCATGTCGTCAGATAGCCGTTTCGAGCTATTACAGTTTGTTGCTTTCCAGGTTTCTGTTTTACCAGAGTTTTGAATGCTTCCCGGTGAAAGGCTTTTTTGTAGCTGTCATGGAGTGAAATGCCGAACCTTAGCTTCCCTGGCATTGCTGTCATGGCATGGTGGTGCGTGCAGCCTGCAGTGGGACAACACCAAGGACGGCTACTACATCGCTCCCGCGTTCATGGACAAGGTCGTCGTGCATCTCGCCAAGAACTTCATGAAGCTGCCCAACATCAAGGTAAAACATTCGTCCCCATGCCTCCTTAGACATCCGTGACATGTCTTCTTGCGTAGACTTTCTCTTCAGCCTGTGGGAACTTCATGAAGCTGCGCAACATGAAAGTACTGTCTTGTCTCCCATCCTGTTTGGACTTCGTGCGTAGGACAATCGGCATTAAGATGGCAACATGTATAGCGTTCGAAAGCCTTTGAACCTCCACAGAAATGCGAAACATCACGGTGACAGACGATTCGTCGTGATTTCACCAATGTCTCATTCGTTTCTTACAGGTGCCGCTCATCCTGGGAGTGTGAGGAGGCAAGGGTCAGGGCAAGACGTTCCAGATGGAGCTCATCTTAAAACTCCTTCATGTTTCCATCTCCCGTGCTTTCGTCAATGTCCCCCTCGCTCCTTGCAGGTGCCGCTCATCCTGGGAGTGTGGGGAGGCAAGGGTCAGGGCAAGACGTTCCAGATGGAGCTCATCTTCGCCAAGCTCGGCATCAAGTGCGTCGCTCGCCCTCCCATCCTAATCGTTGCTCGCTCTCCCTCACTATTCGTTGCTCGCTCTCCCTCACTTTTCGTTGCTCGCTCTCCCTCACTTTTCGTTGCCCGCCCTCCCTCCCTTCCTTTTCGTCGCTCTCCTTCCCACCCCTTTCGTCGCTGGCCCTCATTCCCTTTTCATCGCTCGACCTCTCTCCCTTTCCTCGTCCGCTGTACGCTTGCCTAGTTGTTCATAATAGCCAGCTACTAGGGTGCAAAATTGTTTGACGAAAGCGACCTCAACACGACCATATTTGGAGCGTTTGTCTGCGAAGCACTCCTTTCTCAACCTCAACCTGTCTACTTCATTCCCGCTTTTCATTATTTTCCGCCAGCCCCATCATGATGTCCGCGGGAGAACTCGAGTCCGGCAACGCCGGCGAGCCGGCGGCGCTGATCCGGCAGCGGTACCGCGAGGCGTCGGACGTGATCAAGAAGGGCAAGATGTGCTGCCTCTTCATCAACGACCTTGACGCGGGCGCGGGGCGCATGGGCGGCACGACGCAGTACACGGTGAACAACCAGATGGTCAACGCCACGCTCATGAACATCGCCGATAACCCCACCAACGTGCAGCTGCCCGGCATGTGAGTGGCGCGGGATCGTGGAGGCAGCTCAATCGGAATGGGATGTGATGATGTGGGGGGTGTTGGGTTGGGGAAATGGGGGATGGACGTGCCTGATTGACTGACGGATGTCTCCCGAACGCACCTTCGCAGCTTCGTGCTGACTCACTCGTTTCTTCCCTTGGCACTGGTTTCTCCCCCGTGTGCTGACGGGAATGCTCCCCTCACCCCTTCCATGAAAAATTTGCAGCTTAATCTCCCCTTTGCATGGCACTCTGGTGGTTCTTGTGGCCCTCTGAGGCTTTCCTGAAGCCGTTTTGTCTAATCTCACCCTTGAATGTTTACCAATGTTTCTCCCATTCCCTCCCCCATCCCCTCCGCCCCCCCCCCCCCCCCCCCTCCCCCCCTCATCCCCTTCCCCACCCCGCCCCCTCCAAATGTTTTTTTGTTCCTTGACCCCGCAGGTACAACAAGGACGAGATTCCCCGTGTGCCCATCATTGTGACGGGCAACGATTTCTCTACCCTGTACGCGCCGCTGATTCGCGACGGGCGCATGGAGAAGTTCTATTGGGCGCCCACGCGCGACGACCGTGTGGGTGTGGCACAGGGTATCTTCCGCCTGGACGGAGTGCCCGAGAATGATGTCACCAGGCTCGTCGACACCTTCCCCGGCCAATCCATCGGTACGTACGCGCGCGCCCATGTTGTGTGTCCTGTCCTCGGTGTGGTGTCCGCGTGCTTGCTTTGTGAGAGCACTGTTGTGGCTGTGCATTGCGCGGTAGAGGAGCCAACGCGACGGGTGCATGGAGAAGTTCTACTGGGCGCCCACGCGCGACGACCGTGTGGGTGTGGCGCAGGGCATCTTCCGCCTCGACGGAGTGCCTGAGAACGACGTCACCAGGCTCGTCGACACCTTCCCCGGCCAGTCCATCGGTACGCCTGATGTGACGTCCATCGGTCTTTCGTTGTGTGTCGGTGTGGTGTGCTCGTGCTCGTGTTGCGTGTTGTTTGAGATGTATTGAGCGTATCATTGTATGGTTTCGGTCTGGTATGGTATGTGGTGCATTTCAAAATGCCGAACCCACGGTGTCTGTCCTTTGCATTGAGCGTCCATTAGTACGCCCAGCCCAGATCAGCATGCACAAGGAAGGTTTCAGCACTCATTCCCACCACATGTCTCACCTCCCACACCCCTTCCCAACCCTCTCCACCCATTCCCACCACGTTACCCCACTGTTCACCGCTATATTTCTTCGGCGCTCTCTGTGTGTGCGTGTGCGATGACGACGCAAGGTGTGCAAGTGGGTGGCGAAGAATAACGTCGGCAATGACTCAACACTCTCAACACCACGCGACCTAACCTCTCTTTCCACGCTTTTCCACCACCTCCCATCACAATTCCCCTGCAGATTTCTTTGGTGCTCTCCGTGCCCGCGTGTACGACGATGAGGTGCGCAAGTGGGTGGCCAAGGTCGGTGTGGACCAGGTGTCAACACTCATCACGCGACTCACCTCCCCTCCTGCATCCCTTTCCATCCCATTCCACTGCGTTTCACCCCTCACCACACCTCTCTACCCCTTCCAGATTTCTTCGGTGCTCTCCGTGCCCGCGTGTACGACGATGAGGTGCGCCGGTGGGTGGCCAAGGTCGGCGTGGACAACGTGTCAAAGCACCTCGTCAACTCGCGGTCGGGCCCGCCCAAATTCGACCAGCCGGCGATGAACCTGGAGACGCTGCTGGCGTACGGCAACATGCTGGTGAAGGAGCAGGAGAACGTCAAGCGTGTGCAGCTCGCTGATACCTACCTCGCGTCGGCCGCCCTCGGTGACGCGAACAAGGACCAGATGGAGCAGGGAACCTTCTTCGAAGGTGCGTCCGCTCGTTCTACACTGGGTGGGATGGTCTCTTTTCCTTCCTTTTCTACGTCCTTTTCTCCAAGGGGCTTTGAGACCTCTCGAAACACGATGTCTCAAAGCAGTGAACTCGCGGCGATGAGCCTGGAGACGCTGCTGGCATAAGGCAACATGCTGGTGAAGGAGCAGGAGAATGTCAAGCGCGTGCAGCTCGCTGATACCTACCTCGCCTCCGCTGCTCTCGATGACGCCAACAAGGACCAGATGGAGCAGGGAACCTTCTTTGAAGGTTCGTTCACTCCTGCATTCAAGGGGTTTTTTTAATTTTCTTTTCTTTTTTCAATGGGGCTTTGAGACCTCCCAATACTTGACTGGGGTCTCAAAGCACCTGGGTCCGCCGAAATTCGACCAGCTGGCGATGAACCTGGAGACGCTGCTGGCGTACGGCAACATGCTGGTGAAGGAGCATGAGAACGTCAAGCGCGTGCAGCTTGCTGATACCTACCTCGCGTCGGCCGCCCTCGGTGATGCGAACAAGGACCAGATGGAACAGGGAACCTTCTTTGAAGGTGCGTCTGCTTGTTCTACACTGGGTGGGATGGTCTCTTTTCCTTCCTTTTCTACTTCCTTTTCTCCAAGGGGCTTTGAGACCTCTAAATGCAATGTCTCCAAGCACCTGGTGAACCGCGGCGATGAACCTGGAGACGCTGCTGGCGTACGGCAACATGCTGGTGAAGGAGCAGGAGAACGTCAAGCGCGTGCAGCTCGCTGACACCTACCTCGCGTCGGCCGCCCTCGGCGACGCCAACAAGGACCAGATGGAGCAGGGAACCTTCTTTGAAGGTGCGTCTGCTCGTTCTACAATCGGCAAGTCACCTAGTCACAATGCAAGCGCAGGCGTACCACGGGGCTTTGAGACCTCTGAAAACGCGCAAGTCTCAAAGCACCTTGTAAACTCGCCACCGTCGGGCCCACCCAAGCTTGTACTGGTTCTGCTGAAGCAGTGGAGCTGTTGTGACATCTGGCTATGAGCTGGGTTTGCCAAGGGTCTAATGCACATGCGTCGATTCCGCGCTTTCCTCACTTCACCCCTGTTTCCCTTCTCAATCCCTTCACAACTACTCCTTCAGATGGCTATGCCCAACAAGTGGGAGTGCCGGTGCCAGCAGGCTGCCCTGATCCCACAACGTTCTATTCCCATTGCAATCTCAACCCGTTTTTTACCCTTTTCAATCCCTCTGCATCTCTTCCTTCAGGTGGCTATGCCCAACAAGTGGGAGTGCCGGTGCCAGCAGGCTGCTCTGATCCCAACGCTGTCAACTACGACCCCACTGTTCGCAGCGACGACGGAAGCTGTGTCTACGACTTCGCCCAATAAGCTCCCTGCGTTGCTGTCGCATGCTGATGGGATTGGGTTGGAATTGGGATGTTGTGATGTGGAACTATGTTTGCTACTGTGATTTTTTTTTCCTCTTACTTTTGATATACATTAGTTTTGAGTGTTAAATACGGTATGCGTCTTGGTGGCAATTCCAGAATTGCAGTACATGGACAAGCAGCTGCAATCTTAAATATTTATGGTAGGAGAACCAATTCAACCCAGCTCAACAATGTTTGTCAAGTACTACTAAAGAACCATCTGCTAAGAGGATGGGTAACACATATTGCTCAATATAATTGTATCGGCGTGGTCGTTAAGAATCAATAAGATAAACTGTAGCAATTTGCGGTAAAGGGCTTGTGCCGAAAAGCTTCGATAGAGCAGGACGAAAAATGTTGCCTCAGCGATGGATTGTCGTTGAAATGTCGCCCACTTCACGCGGACCGCGACTTCAACCGACAGCCACCACCACCTCTCGTCAAACATCTTCGCAACATTTTCCAGGCCCCGAAACTCATTAGCGACGGCCACAGTTACCACCTGCTGCCACCCACTGCCCATCCCTTCCGGCACGACGAATTCAAGCCTATCGTCCACCGGACTTGAAACTTCGTCTGGGCTGCATCACCGCTTCTCGCGCAGCATGTCGGTCATTGGCTGCGTACGCCGAGGGAGGGAGGAGGGGGGGCGAAGGTAAATGACGAGGGTTCCTAAGCAGTTTCCCGTTCGATATCAAAACCCCCCTGCTACAACCGAAAGTGGGAAATCTCGGATTCTCGGGTGGAAGGTTCTGAAGGTAAATGACGAAAAGACAAGAACAATTTCGCACGCACACTTCATGGGTAGATAGAGCTTCGCCAAATCAGAACGAGGGTTGAAGTTGAGAGAAGGGTATCAGATGGAAGAAATTCGACCCCCAGCACACCCACCTGCAAGACACAAAACTTGATGTTTTTTTTACCTGCTAGTGTTGCTGCGACCCTGTTTGGGATATTCGAGGATAGGGTTGTTTGCTTCTTAGGGTAACAGCGTGGTGTTCCCTATCCCAGCGCCTCCCCCCCACCTCCATCGCACCACCCCGAAAAAGCAGCTTTCGTAGGGCGGGGAGAAGGAGGCAAAATTTGCCAGCGCAGGAAGGTGGGGAGGGGAAATGGGCGGCTTCCTACGACCTCATATCCTCCAGGGTAAATGGCTGTTCTGTTGCCATTTACCTTCGTTTAGGTTCGGAGGGTGAATGGGAGGCTCGGAACCATTTTCCGGGCTGACCGCCTTTTCGACCCAAAAAACGAAGGTGGGGGAAGGTTCCTATTTACCGCCTCCCCCCCTCTGGCATGCCTACAGAACGCAGCCATTGTTGACACTTTCCGTGCCTCACAATCTTTCATCAACTTCATTTGTGCCTCTCAACTCAACTCGAGTCGAGAATCGAGATTCACTTCCCAGATTTGCCCTACTAGGAGCCAGCATCTTCCTTCCGGGTTTCCCATCCGCACGAAACTGTTTCCTCCTGTACGATCCTGCACTTTCCTTCCAAACATGGCCAGCTCACGGTACCTCTCTCTCTTGGGGCTGCTCTGCATCGTGCTGTGCTTTGTGAGCGCGCACGCCCAGGCGCCGGCGAAGCCCACCAAGGCGCAAATAAAAGCGGAGCTTCAAAACATGGCGAACGCCATTACTCAGAAGTTTCCGAAATATGCGAAATACGCCAAAGACATCAACAAGTACATTGGCCTCGCACGTAAGTACTCACTATTAGAATGCGCTCGCGCTCACGTTGCCGCAATCAGAATGCCTGAAATGAGGAGTCGATATCAAGCCCTATCATCCCTTGATCTTCCCCCGACGCGGCACGCTCTTCCCGCTTCTATAGTATACACGTCGATTCCTTAACTCTTCCTAGTCGTTCATAATCCTGCTCTGTTTTTTTCAACTTAACTCGAAACGCGCCCAGGTTCGCGTTCAGAGGCTTCGTTGAGCCTCCCTTTCCCTGCTTCCCGCGCGCCTCTTCAGCTTTCCTCGATCCGCGTGAAACTCCAGCTATCAGTTAGCTCCAGCCACTGAACTATTCCTCATTCTCTGTCCTCGCCCGCTCTCTCTCTCTGCCTCAAATTCTCCCTCTCCCCACCTCCAGTGAACTCGAAGTACGATTTCACAGCACTCAGCGACGCAACGCTCCTTCTTCCCAGCGACACAGAGGCGGAGGCCCTCGCTAAGAAGGTCCCCGTTAATAAAGCCAACATCCCCAAAATCTACAACATTACGGCGTACCACATTATTCGCAAGAAGTACACCGTTCCCGCGCTCAAGGTGCTCAAGAAGTCGCAGCCGCTCGGCACGCAGCTGAAGCAGGCGATGTACAAGGTTTCGCAGCAGAATGGTAACACGGTTTCTTTCGCCAAGACGCCCAATGCCCCCCCTGCCGCCTGGACCACGATCAAGATCGTTCGGCTGTACGCTGGGCCGTACTTCATCGCGCACGGCGTGGATAAAGTCCTGGTTCCCACGAACACCAAGGTGTAAATCCTTGGGCGTACAAACAACCCAGAAAATAGGACTTCTAGAATTTAGGTTATCCGTTCCCAGTTGACAGTCAGTCATGCTACGGGTTCAACCTCTGAACTAGAGATGACTGGCCGTCAACTAGGCACAAAGCAGTTTCTTGTGGCTGAAAGGAGAGGATTAAAAAAGTGTGTGTGAATTGTATGTATGGAGGCTGCAAGTACCGTATCATGTTTGAAGAGCTCTTTTACCTCTGTGTAAATGTTTCACCACGAACAGAATTATACACTCGCTAGGAGACTTTACTAACACTCCTCCTGCACAATCTGGTTGTGAAGGTTTATCCTGGTCATTTGGAGAATCTGTCGTTTTGTCTCCAGGAGCTGACAACAGAGAATGAAGCAAATGCACGTCAGACGGCTCTGATTGCACGTCAGACGGCTCTGATTGCACGTCAGACGGCTCAGATGCACGGCAGACGGCTCAAATGCACGTCAGACGGCTCAGATGCACGTCAGACGGCTCAGATGCACGTCAGACGGCTCTGATTGCTGTCTCGGCTCAGATTGCTGTCAGGAAACAGAAGTTTGCGCAGTAGGGGCAGTAGGGGCAAGGGGCAGTAGGAGGCAAAGGCAGCAGCAATCGCTGAGAAGGAGGAACAGGAAGAGAAAGCTGCTGCCATTGCTGGGAAAAAAAGGAAGCAGAGAGAGAGAGCGCTTCTTTCGCTGAGAAGAGGGAGGTGGAACGAGAAGGCTGCTGCAATTGCAGCTAAGAAGAATTACCGGTAACAAGGAGAAACAAAGGCTGCAATTGAGTTTAAAAAGTAGAAGCAGGCAGAGAGGCTCCTGCAACGGAGTCTAACAAGGTAGAAAGAGGCTGCAAGGGGTCTGTCTGACGAAGTGGAGGATCTAGCAACATGTTGTGACTTTGTTTGTAGGCAGCTGCAGCTGCAGCTGCAGTTTCGCGTTGTGTAATTGTTAGAGTGGATACTGTTTTCGGTTTTTGGAGTTCCTGCACAGCAATTCGCTGTTAGTAGGGTTCCACTCCACCCACATTGTAAGCACACCGACCATATTGGACTGCACGATCGAATCTGACCATGGACGTCTTGTTGTGAAACACCCCACTTTGACTTTTGAGTCGACTCAAAAGCCACATTGTAAGCGCACCTATCATATTGGACTGCATGATGGAATCTGACCATGCACGTCTTGTTGTAAAACACCCCACTTTGTTTAAAGGAGTCTGTGCCCGCCAGTTGTGGAAAGTCGCAAAAAGGCTGCAATGGGGTAGCATCCATGCTTGCACGTGCCTCCAGCGCATGCTCCTCCCCCTCCCTCAGTCTCCGCACCGCCACATCCACCCTCTTCCCTGGCAGCAACGTGTCGTCTTCCATGGTCACGACCCCACCCGCCCCTTTAGCTATCTTCGCCACCACAAACTTAACCGCGTCGTGAACACGAGAAGGTGCGTACTGGTACTTGCAGCGAAGGGCATGATGCGGGTCAGAGGGATCAGCAAACTCAAACCCACACGCGCACTTGCCGGCGACTATCAGCTGCTGTATGGGGAGGCCTAGGCGCATGGACGCACAGATGCTCCACTCGGCTGCGGTGAAGGTAGCCTCTTCGTGCGAAGGGACGGCGGAGACCCACGCCCCTGCCCCCGGGCCCTGAAGGGATGTCAAACGGGCCAGGGTGGCGTCGTCGTGGGCCATGCCCCGAAGAGTCTGCAGACTCTCAACCGCTAGGCGACGGTGTTGTGTGGGGAAAAGCAGCACAGGGGGGTCAGCGGTGCATAAGGCTAGGGGTGGCATCTCCTGCCTGACCGACTGTGGCAGCAGCTCCACTGCTCTCGCAAACCAAGGATCCAGCAAGGTCGTAGCCTCGGGCGTGCGGAAAAACTCCTCAAACATCCGCTCCTCCCCTGCCACCCCCATCCGAGCCACATCGCTCACTGCCTGGCACCAACCACATGCGTACGACAGAGGGCTAAGGTCAGCTGCAGATCGAATGCCAAACCCTCCAAGTCTGGCTGGAAGGTGCAGCTGTAGACGGGCCATCTGCGACCTTGCCGAATCATGATCCCAGGTGCTATCTGGAAACAGCTGCTCAAAACAATCCTCAAGCTTCGTGTCCCAGTCGCGGAAAGCCTCCACAACCTCAGGCCGTGGAGGCATCGTCCTTGTGAGGTAAATCGGGCGCGCTGACACTGCGATCGCCAGCAGATGGGACGCAATCTGTGGGTGGTCGAGCAAAGGAAGCCAAGGGACAGGTGCATGCAGCTGCATCAGCCAGCCTCGCAAGCTGGCCACCTCCCACTCCTCCTCCCCAATAGGAACCCCCACTACGGTGAGCCCCGTCCATGTTTGCTGCATGCCGGGCGGGACGGTCTCGTTCCTCTCCTCTCCCTCCTGGTCCACCCCTCGCTCCCAAAGCTTGCACTTATGCGGCTGCACCTCCAGACCAAGCCCGCCCAGTCGTTCCCGCAAGACCTCATAAGCTGCTAGCACCCGCTCCCTAGGCCCCAAGATGTACGTATCATCGGCGTAGCTGAGAAAGAGTAGGTCGGCGAATTCTTGTTTGGTTGGCTCCATTACCAGCTGCTGTGTGAACGCGAACAGAAACGGCCCCAATGGGTCCCCTTGCCTCGATCCTCGCTCTGAAGCCAAAGCTTCGACGAATGGGCCCGCACGGAGGTAGAGGTCGCTAGGAGTGCCGTAGAAGACACGCAGGAATGGGATCAAACCCGCAAAAGGCGACTGTCGAAGTCCTTCAAACATTTCCCGCCGATGGAAGGAGTTGAAAGCGTTCGCCACGTCAATTTGAAGCGCGCACCATGACGGGTGAGTAGAGATGGCAGAACGAAAGGCATGTGCGAGGACTTCCACTCCCGACCTGGATCCGACTCCTAGCTGGTTACACGGCGCAAAGTGCGACATCATCTTCGGCCGAAGCACGATGCATAGGGCCCGAGATAGTATGCGGGGGAGCACCTCGCCTATAGCCACCGGGCGAACGTCACCATTCGGCTTCGACAGGCCCACAAGGTTGGACGCAGTGAGCCAGGGTCGCACGCGCTCCGCTACCTCTCCCTTGGTCCACTGGGTGAAGACTCCTAGCAGGTGAGGCAGGTATGCGGGCTCAGAGAGAAAAGTGTCGCGCAGGTGCTCCGTCACCCACCCCGACGGTCCTGGTGCCGACGCCCTAGTCGCAGAGTGGATCGCCTGACCAAGTACCTCCACTGAGAGCTGCGGGATAAGGGAAGGCTCAACTATCTCCTCCTGCAACCACTCCGGAATGGCGGTCTCGCTCGATGGGTGTTTCGCTCGCAGCGCGTCCACCATGTACTGAGAGGGCTGAGCGATGCTACCGGCAGTAAGACACGCCAAACCCCGACTCCATTCTCCCACTTTGCACCTTGTGCGGCAGCGAGCCAGGCGCACCGCATCAGGATCATGCTCGGGGGGGGTGAAGGACAAAGGACGCGCCGCAGGCTGCATTACCGCCACCGCCAACTCAAACAGCTCCCGCCACTCCCCGACCCAAAACTTCTCCAACCGCTCCCTGATTGCCGCCCTATGCCCCTGGCCTTGCCCGGTTGGCATCCCCAAGATAAGACGAGGGAAGGCCAAAAAGACCAAGGACGCCGCCTCGTCTGCTGCCTTTAACTGTAGCCGCTTCAGGACACAAGACAGTGCATCAAGCACCCCCAATCTAGCGCGCTGTGGGATACGACGCATGATTCTCCCTGGCACCAATTCGATCCCAAAAAACGACTCCCAGTCCCATGTAGGAACTGCGGCCCACACCTCTTCACTGATGTCACGTGGTGGCGGGGGTTCGCCGTCCGAGTCATCTGTGACGTCGCGGGTCAACCCAAGCGCCTGAGCACGACGCTGGGCGTCCGCTGCCCTGCAGGCCGACATATGGCGTGTGGCCTTTCCTCTCTCCGTGAACGTGCGATAACAGGTTTCGCACGGAATGCGGGGAGGGGGTGTCAATGTAGGGTCTGGGTGCTCCTCTCCACTCGAACACGCCGGCAAGACCCTCCTGCTAGACTCCGTCTCCATGCCCCCCTCTAATGGCCTTGCAAGCTCCATCCCTCCGCACTGCAGCTGCTGCTGCCCTCCGCTCTGCAACTGCTGCTGCCCTCCGCTCTGCAATTGCCGCTGCCCTCCGCTCTGCAGCTCCTGCTGCCCTCCGCTCTGCAGCTGCTGCTGCCCTCCGCTCTGCAGCTGCTGCTGCCCTCCGCTCTGCAGCTGCTGCTGCCCTCCGCTCTGCAGCTGCTGCTGCCCTCCGCTCTGCAGCTGCTGCTGCCCTCCGCTTTGCAGCTCCCGCTGCCCTCCGCTCGGCAGCTGCTGCTGCCCTCCGCTCTGCAGCTGCTGCTGCCCTCCGCTCTGCAGCTGCTGCTGCCCTCCGCTCTGCAGCTCCTGCTGCCCTCCGCTCTGCAGCTGCTGCTGCCCTCCGCTCTGCAGCTGCTGCTGCCCTCCGCTCGGCAGCTGGTGCCCTCCGCTCTGCAGCTGCTGCTGCCCTCCGCTCGGCAGCTGCTGCTGCCCTCCGCTCTGCAGCTGCTGCTGCCCTCCGCTCGGCAGCTGCTGCTGCCCTCCGCTCTGCAGCTGCTGCTGCTCTCCGCTCGGCAGCTGCTGCTGCCCTCCGCTCTGCAGCTGCTGCAGTTTGGTTGCCCGTCGCCTCCGGCCCCGGCCTCGCGCTCGGGGCCTTTCCGCTTGGTCCGGGGAATCAGGGTTGGCATTCTCCCCCTCCATGGGGCTTGATTCCAGCTCATCGGTGCAAGCCTCGTCCGCCATCTTCACATCCAACACCCAAACCGGCTCTTGCTGCCCTCCGCTCTGCAGCTGCTGCTGCCCTCCGCTCTGCAGCTCCCGCTGCCCTCCGCTCGGCAGCTGCTGCTGCCCTCCGCTCTGCAGCTGCTGCTGCCCTCCGCTCTGCAGCTGCTGCTACCCTCCGCTCTGCAGCTCCTGCTGCCCTTCGCTCTGTAGCTCCTGCTGCCCTCCGCTCTGC